CTGCTCGCTGCTCGGATTTCGCGCTTCGAGGTTCGAGGCGTGTGCCAGTGAAAGCCGTGGTGCTGTACGCCGCGTTCGCCGCGTCGTGGGGAGTGGGGAGTGGGGACGATGGGCACACCGCGACATCGACATCCCCCGAGCAGAGAGCCCAGCCGAGCCCAGCCGGGCCCAGCAACCTGCAGCCCCATTCCGGAGACGCGTTTCTTTTGTCTCTGTCGCTCTCATGAGGCACTTGTTTCACGTTACACGCGTACGTACGCAAACGCACACAAAGACAGAAGACACGAGCGCGCGCGGCTACGACTGGAGACTCGGCTTGATACTGATTTATGGGAACCAAGTTGGCCAGTGTAGTGGTGGCCGCGGCTGGCCCGGACACGCCGCGCACCGATCGCACGCATCCTCGCGCCGCTGGATGTTATCCTTTTACACGGCTCGGCGACACGCGCTGGGGATGCCCCCCCCCCTTTCCCTCCAGCCCCCGGCCCCCCAGGACACGTACGACGTACGCAGGGACGTACGCAGGGACGTCCGGGAGGAACGAAAGCGCCCTGCAGCGACCGAGGCAGCGACCGGCAGTGGCAGGTAGACTGACTCCGAACGGAGTTTTGACGCTGTCTCTCTCGCACCCCTGCGAGTCATGCCATTTTAATCTTTCCGAAAATGAAAGCCGTGTTTGGAACCAGCCTGCAGCCAGGGAGGGCCACCACGCTGTCCTCGACGGGGGCCTAGAATCCGTACTCACCCTCGCCGGCGCCGGGCCTACGGAGGTCCGCGTACACGATCCGGGGCTCTTTGCTCTGCGACGGAGCGAGTCCTGGAAAAGGCAGAGGGGGACACCGTCAGGGAGTGCTTGGCGGTGCTTGGCGGTGCTTCGCGTCGACCGGCGCGTGGCTCGCTGCTGCTCTGCTGCTCGCCAGAGGCACCGCAGGCACGGGGGCCTCCCTTTCCGCATCTGACACGGCCTCAGCGCCCCGAGCCCGACGAGCGACCAGCCCGAGGCCGCCGGCACCCAGGCCGGGCCGCTACGCTTGCTACGCTGTGCTACGCCCAGGAGGCTGTCATCGTGCATTCCGATAGTCCGTCTCTGCAGAGTCATGCCGGAGTGACTGGCGAGGCTGGCGGTGAGGCTGGCGTGGCGGTGTCCCTGCCGGTCCCTGCTAAACGCCCAAACGAAAGGCCGCTGCAGCTAATGAGGCGCTGCCCGGCGTTGCCGATGCCAACGGCGTGTTACTAATAGTGTGCGGCTAACAGTGAGGTGGTGTGCTCCAGAGCTGGTCCAGTGTGGCGCCGCGCCGCCGGTTCGCGGCAGTTCGCGGCAAGCATTGGGGTGGCGGGCCGTGGCGGGCCAACCCGGCCGGGTTTCTCGTTTCTCCGTGCGGCCGAACACCGAACCACACCCGACACCGGTCCGTCCGTGTCTCCGCACTCCAGGTGCGTCGCGTCGCGTGATGGACGCCTAGCGACGCGAAGTGCGTGCTCGCGTGGCATTCCAGTCCGACTCCAGTTCATTTCGGCTGCTGCTGGAGCACGGAGACGGAGAGAAGTCGAAACCGATGTGACGCCCGGCCGGATGCCCCGAAGACCGAGTCCAAGACCGATCACCGTAGACACGCACCGCACGGAGGCAGCGCGGAGACAGCAAGCGCGACGGCATGGCGCCCAACGAGTCGAGGATAGGCAACACTGCGTGACACGGGTGTCTCGCCGTGGCGTGGGTGGCCTACCTTGCCCCGCAGGCCGCATCTTGCTGCAGTGCGGCCGTCGGTCAGCCTCTCTCGCACATATACGGAACGTCCCATGAGTGCGAGAGAGATGGACCGACGGCGACCGATAGCCGCATTGCCGCTCTGCGCGGAATACCCCTGCAGGCCAGATGGCGGCACGAGCCCGGCGGAGGAAGGGGAAGGGGAAGGCTTGCCGTTTTCCTCGTCGATCCCCTTTTTGTGGCTATCCTGGTTCTCGCGTCTTCACGGCGACTGACGCGCAGACCGAGGGCGTGGCGAGGCGTGGCGGGGCGCGGCGGGGCGGGGCGTGGCGGGGCGGGCAGCGTGCTCCAGCAGGTCAAGTCCGGGACGGACTTCTTGTCTGCGGCCGGACCTTCGTCTTCGACGCAGAGCAGTTTCTGCGACTCAATTAAGCCGACGCCAACGCCCGCAACACCATGCCCCGGCTGACGTGAACTACGTGAACCACGTCAACGAGGTAGGGAACGAGGACGCGTCCAAAGTGGACGAGCCGTGGTGTGTCTCACCCTCGCCCTGAGAGTCACACCATCCCTTGGCCGTGCCTATGGTCGGGGAAGTGGTTCGATCCCCTTCGCCGTTCCGTTTCTCTCCGTACCCGGCACCGCGACGCCTTGGCGACGCGACCACGAGGCGGCCATCACGCAACGCGAAATAAACGCCTCGGGACGCGGGCTGGACGGACGCTGGCTAGGCTGCCCGGGGCGACAGGGCCGCCTGCCGTTTCGTTTTATAGAGGTGAGTGCAATTCTAAAAATTCAGTGGACTCACGCACACGCACATGTCAGCTGACATGACGCACGAGCTTTCGCGCGGGGTGACAGCGGCGACAGTGCAGGCGCCATGGGATGCGGCGGTGCTTCGAATCCCGCCGAGGTTGTGGCGGACTTCGCACACCGCGCACCGCACACCGCGCACCGCGCACCGTCCACGCAAAGCCCCGCGTTTTTGTCTTTGCGGGGAGTGAGTGGGTTGTCAGCGCCTGCCAGCAACTTTGGACAGTCCCACAGTTCACCCTCCGCCCGACCAGCGTACGTCCTGGGCCGGCGGGCCGGGAAGTTCCGTGTAACCCGGCGGCAATTAAAGGGCAGTTAGGGCGGCGGCGTCGGCGTTACGACGGAGGGGGGCAAGGCAAGGCGGCAGTACTAAATGAGTCTTTTTCGAATCCCCGCGCCGTGTTGCGTCAGGGCGCCGTCAGGGCGCCGTCAGGGCGCGGCGCCGAGAAACGCGACACTAAAAAGCGGGCCGCGCCAGGGCGGGGCGGGGCGGGGCGGGGCGGGGCCGCGCCGTGACGCTTCCTCGCTGTGACGAGATATTAATTTATTTTCGACAGATCGAGATGGGCGGGGCGTTGGAGCGGCGTGAGCAGAGTTGCACTCTGTTGCAGCAGGCACGCGGCTCGGCGGCTCGGCGTCGCGTCGTTCCTGCGTCGCTCTGCGCTCCCATTGCAGTTCACCGAGTCTTGCTTCTCTGAGGGAGAGTGTTTTCGCTGGGCAGCAGATGGGCTGGGGCTGACCCGCCTGGGTGGCATCGACTCTGGGTCAGCGCACAGCGTCGCCGTAGCTATCTAGTTCGAGGTCTAGGAGGGCTCCAGGCCAGGCCCCAGGCCAGGCCCCAGGCCAGGCTCCAGGCCAGGCTCCAGGCCAGGCTCCAGGCCAGGCTCCAGGCCAGGCTCCGGGCCAGGCTCCGGGCCAGACTCCAGGCCAGGCTCCAGGCCAGGCTCCGGGCCCACTAGACTGCCGTGGCGCAGCTGGCCAACAGCTGTGCACTCCAGGCTCTGTCACAGCGGCCCCAGGCCCCAGCCGTACTGCTCGCAGTGTACTGCCCCTCGCAGAGTGCACTTCCGGGCCCTTTTCGTTCCCATGGTGACGCCCTATCTTGAGCCAGCAACCAGGCCAACCAGGCCAGCGCCGCGCGGCTCGTACGCGCTTTTCCAATTTTGAGAACGGCTCACGGCTTCCCTCGGCTACTCCGCGGTGCTCGGGACTCGGGACCCCAGCCGCGCCCCGCCGTGCCGTACCGTCTGTCTGGTCAGCTCCTCGCCGCGCCTTGCCTCACGTTGATGAACACTTTCTAACTGCTAATACGTGCCTTCTGTGGCCATGTGCCGCCATGTGCCCTGTGGCGGCTGGCAGTGCCCAGCCAGCAGTGTCTGCCGGCTGGGCGCGGATCTGCCGTCATGCTGCCGTCCGGGCTTGGCTGCGCGCTGCGCTGGACTGCGATTCCTCTCATCTGCCTGCTGCCGTCTGTACCTAGGCTCCTCCGAGGCCTCTACCTGTGTGCCGCCTCAATCTGACCGCGCAAAAGTTGTCTGCAGCGCGGGGCTTTTTCGGGGGTTGGTCCGTCGTCGGCGCCCAGCACTCGCCGAGGTGGAGGTACGACCTCTGCACTCACCGGTCACTGACATCCCTTGGCGGGAGGGCAGGGCCAGGACGGGCACATGGGCCCCGCGCTGCTGGCGCTGCTGGCCGTGGCGTCGCGACGCTGCGGGGACGCCCTCGACGTCCTGGCTTCGTCGGGGGGTCGTCCCGAAGGACACGACACGCGCGGCGGGGGCACGGTCCGTACGGTCCACTGCAATGACGGCCACGAGACGACGCCGACGAGGACGCCGACGCCCTGCCTTGGGTTGGAGGTAAGAGCGACGCCGCACTCGACGCCGGGGTAGCGGGGCAGCGCGGCGCGGCCGAGTCACGTCCACGTCCGCGTCGCGGTGTCGCGGTCGCACCGAAACGCCAAACGCCGAACGCCGCAACGAATGGCGCGGCCGACTGCCGACTGAGGCCACTATTCTGTGAGTGCGCGACTGGCCGAGCCGCGACCAGCCCAGCCACAGCGACGTCCCTCGAGGTTCGCGGCGTGGTGCAGCTGACGGCCACCGCCGGCCCCCTCCCTCCTCCCTGCTCTAGCGCCCCGCGGGCCCCGCGCCCCACTCCTGCGGCGCTGGCGACGTCCCCGCAGCCTCCAGCTCCAGCTCGGCTGGCTGGCACCACACCGCCCTCCTCTGTCCAACCCGGCCTAGGAGGCTTTCACGCGGAAGGGGAGGCAAAGGGTGGTGAACCGGGAAGGCTAACAACTCCAAGTGCGATTCTAAACCTGTCGTCAAATAACTTGCTTTATCAGATGCGACCCATGGTTGCGAAAAGAGAAAAGGAAAAGGAAACCGAACGTCAAAGTCAACGCTCGTGTCCATTGTCAAACACATTTGTGCGGATGTGGAAAAAGAGGCATCTGGGTTAAAAACAAGACAACATCTTTATCTCTTTCTTTTTTTTTAATTTTTGCTTAGTTGTACAACACTTTTTCCCCATTCTACTGACTAGGAGATGGATACAAGCAAAATAGACTCTAACACTTCTTCAATATGTACTTTTTGAAATAGTTAAGTGCGTTAATAATATAACCATATCATAATTTACACGTAAGGTTTAATGTTTTAACTTGCTCCCAGGGCCACCCACCAGATATTACAGTGAGACAAAATAAACTCTAATACATATAAATGTTTGACAGCAGAATCTACTATAGACATTAAAGCTGACAATAGCTAAATATCACTGCTGCCTATGATTTCCACACATAACATTGTAGCTACAACTCTGCCAACTGCATCCCCCCAGTTCCCTTGCCCATTATTAACAGTATATGAGCTTAAAAGAGAGGGATGACTACAAATTAAATAATCTGGTCCATAACACAGGATTCACATATTTTTCTCTAAGATAAAAAGTCATTAGATTGTAGAAGGAACACTTCAACATTGTGCTCGTCTCATGTTGAAATTGGGAGACAGTGAGATATATGTGATGAGGTTTGTACTAAATAAGTAGTTGATGACACCATGAATCGCAACTCTAATATACTATTCCAGCCACCATAATGAGGTGTGGGAAAAGTCTTCAAGAACCAACTATTCTTTTCACTAATTTTGTCTTCCTAACAAATGGTTGTGCAATTATACACAAGAAAGGCTAAAAGTACCAACACACAAAGCACCCTGTACAAGAATATGTAACTCTCATGCACATGCAATATATAAACTCGCAAATGATTGTGCAGAGATATTGTAAAATCACTGCAAGGTTACGACCCATCTGTCTTGTCTAGTAACCTACTTTTAAAGTTCAGAATACCTATTTTGGGATTAATAAACGCACACTACCACACCATGAACACATACCAAATTTGAAAGATTAAAAAAATGTCACAGGACAAGAGAAAAATTGTGATGGGAATTAAAATACAGTTAAATAGACAGGGTATATTATCAAAAAGTAAAAAGCAAAGCATGTAACACTTGAAGATTCATTGTCTTCCCAGGTAAGTCACTCCTACAGTCAGTCATGTCACTTCACAAGCAACAACCATTAGGCCCTCTCAAAGAACCATGCATTTCTCAACATTTAGCCCCTTACCAGAAAAACCATGACAGCATGTATCATTTGAGCATACCATTTAACACAGCCACAAAAGCCTCATGCAAACAAACAGCTACACATTGCTGTACACAGACTGTTAAAATGGTAGCGATTAAGAGGCTGTCATGCATAACTGTGACGGCAAAAAGTCAACACCAATTAGGCATTTACATTAAGAATGTCACACAATGATATCCATGTAATATATATGAGCATAAATTTTAAACATCAAAGGGTGCTGGTGTAGAAAATGGACAATTGCTAATATCACATTTAACAATATAAAATATTTAAAACTTGTTAATAGTATTTGTATGTATCAGATATAAGAATTACTTTGACAGATTTATTCAAACCAACACAAAACACTATAAAGCCATCCACACATGCAACAATAAATGGCAAGTGGAGTACATGAGGACTTTGACCTAAACATTTCATTTTCAAATGAGGTTTGGAGAACATGACACACGGACGGAAAAACTAGATGAATTTCGGAAATAGAGAAAATGAAGGAAAGCCACTGCCATAGCTTGGACTTGACTCATACTGAACAGTTTCGACAAGACAAGCCACCTCATTGACTATGAAAAAAAGCAATACTAGAAATAGAATACATACACAGAGTAAGAAAAAGGTACAACCTACAAGCCAAGCCAAGCCAAGCCAAGGAACCAGCATTTCACTCTCTTAAGTTTCCAGAACTAATTATAATACCCACTGTAACATGCATTAAATACATGTAATGAGAATAAAGAAGAATTTAAATAATTAAGACAAGTAAATAAATGTAGTGAGGGCACCACTTCGAGAACCAAAAATGAGTTAACTTCTTTGAAAAAAAAAGTCCTTCCAATAGTGTGGTTACAGTCTATTAAGATCAGTAATCTGATTGGCAATGCAACACTAAGCTTCAAACGAGGTAGAATTAACACACTCATTTTAATAACACAAATTTCTGAAATAGAACAAATATAAATTACTTGATGTTTATACTAATGTGGTCATGACAGTAATGGCAGGTGGTAAGCTAACATTATTATTACTTCCCAAACAAATGATCTGATCCTCTAGTGCATACAACCTTATAGATAATTGGGAACGCAATATTTATGATGCTGGTTGCTTTTGTCAAATTTAAGTCAATAAATTTAGATATGCAACAGCCCTGCAAAGGAAGCTGATTGAATGTTGAAGGATGTGTTGAGGCAGTAAATTGATATGCATAATTCAAGGAACAAGAGTAAATGAGATAAATTTCTCTTGAAGCAGGTTGAATGAAGCATAAAATGTCAAGGGGTAGCCTAAACTGTGTGATTAATGTTATCTGGTTATTTTGTTTACTCATCTTAATGACATTTGCCACAAATGATTAAGTCAAAAGACAATCAGAATTTTTGAGTGGAGAATGTATGAACAGCCCTCTTCAAAAAATGGAAAAAGATGCTTATATTAGACATTAACAACATGAATCCTTTATGGTAGGGATATCCAAGCTATAACTGGTTCATGGCCAGACTATAAATAGTCTGTTCAATGAATCATAATGTGTCAAATAATGAAGTAATAAAAAAGAGGGAAAAAACACCCACACTACACGAGGTGTGCTATCAATTGGTCTATATGCTAAGTGCTGCAAAGTATTAAATACTTCACCAAAGGTTATTATCACAAATACACCAAAATATTGGCACGGTAAAGCCAAGAGAGTGAGTCTATTGGAACAGTCCTTGCAGTTTGCTATGATTAGCTAAAACGTGGACATTATTTTCAAACACATAATTAACAGAATTATAGATAGGCAAAATCTAGTCAAACAGTTAACAACCACTAATTAATATATAGTTAGCCGCCTACAGTGCTCCACACAACACAGTCTCAATAACTCAGCAACAAAGTGCGAACTTCCAACTTCAAATGGTCATGCAATCATATAAACGAATTTGACCTGCATCTTAAAAGCTACCAATTCTGTTTTACCGTTAGAAAGCGAGATACTTTATCTGAGATAGATAGATGGTAGTGAACAAAACTCGCTCAGCACATTATTATTAAGAACCTCAGGTATCTTACTGTACAAATGATAATATAGTTCAGTCTATCAATAATATATGGTTCACTTCTGGGTGCTGACCCACTGGGGATTTTAGAATTCCTCACATCAAAATTTAAATGACGCGAGGGAACATCATTGGCACAATTGCAAACTTCACATTTGTCGCCATTGGTATGAATAAAAATTTGAACAAGTTGAAACACTAGAAATCATCTGATAGCAACATTAACTACTGAAGAGTACTTGGCAGACTTGTGATCTAAGAATTGAAGGAAAAACTGTCCAAGTGAAATGCCACATACCATAGGACTGATGTAATAATTTTGAAATGATTTGTGTTTAGTCATGTTAGTCAAAAATGGATAAGAAAAGAAAAAAGAAGAAAAAAAATGGGAGCACAATTTAAAAAATCAAATTGTATTGTTAAAAAAAAAGAACAAAAAAGCATACACACATTGGTAACTGACATTTCACAAGTAAAAATGTAATACTAATACAAAACCAAGCAATTGAATTTTATCATAATGGCATTTGAAATACTACAGATCCCCTCTGGTGAATAAGCAGCTCTTTTTAGTCTTTGGTTTATTACATTCTCCACCTGTCATATTCGAATTTCATTTCTTTTAAGACACATGTGGATACCCATGTTATTTGGGGAAGGATTTAGATGTTCTTTCAATTTTAACCTCTCTAATTCCATAATGCAACACTATCAAGTAAGATTTAAGAATGCGGAGAGCTTTCACTAATAGAGGAGATTGGATGCTAGGAAGTGAAAGGGAGCACTTTAAAACAAATCAGAGTGAAAACCTAGCAACAACAAGATTGACAGTGGTAAAATCCATCACCAACAGGAAAAACACAATAATGACCGGGCAAGCAAAAGACAAAAAGGAAAAAAAAAAAAAATTTGGAACTAAGCTATCCAGAGTGAAACACATGAACCAATCAAGTCAAAATATCAGATATAAGAAAAGCTTCTGTTACATCTAAATTCTATCACAACTACTTTTAAACGTGCAGTTCATTAAAAGAAGTTATCGTATCAAGTGAATTCACTTAAATGTACTACCATTTAATCAATAAAGAGCTACTGGTAAGTTGTATATTTATGCAAAGTCACAACATATTGATTTATTTAATTGCAGTAAGAAACAACACCTTCCCAACAATAAACTCACTAAACAAACGCAAACCATGGGATACTGATGTAATCCCAGTATCATACATTGTACTTTTAAATGTCATTATCAGGTTTGATATTTCTGCAGCGTCTTTACACTTTAGGTTACTTGTGTGATTCAATCACACACAGTCCACAACTGGACTAAGACTTGCAGGATTAAATGTAATACTAATCACCCAAACAAATGTAGACAATAACAACCTTAAGCAAGAAGACTGCAATTATTTAGAAGAAAAGAAAACCGTAAGAGGAACCATTGACTTAATGAATATTACTTTTATGTACAAACGTCAGTTCGCAGTTAATGGCTTTACACATAAACCAAATTGATACAACTAAACTAAGGAGACCTTTGCAACTGCAACCAAAGCTAGATCTAATCATAAAATCCAAAAATATTGTTCATTTTACATAACTCTAGAACATAATATTCTCTATTATAGTACAGAATTTATTTATCACGAGCAAAACTCCTGTATTCAGTTGAAAAACCAGTACTGAGCTCTGCTGTTGGTAAGTTTGAGGGCATCCAATAAAAGATAAAACATTTTTCAGCCCTACCCATAATTAAAACAGTACCCAATTCTTGGAGTGGCCTTTAGAAGTACTCCGAATTTCTCTCTGCACCCTGCAGTGCTCCTGACATTCAAGATAAGTAAGCCTTGCAGTAACAATCAAACTTGCAGTAACAATCACAAGTTTACCTCGAGATCCACAATCATCCAGCAGCAATCATACAAATATGGGATGCCTTCTAATGCAAAAATGCTGTTGTACAGGTTAAGATACTGGTTTGCACTGAAGCAACTGAAAGCTGACCCATTATTAACAAAATATTCAAAATGGAAATATTCAGTCCTTCAGCACATGCATGCCCAGAGCAGCAAGTAGTATGCCACCACCGATGGAATGCAACACTCGGCTTCCATAAAATTAATAATCCAGTCACCTTTACTGATCCAGTTTGTGTTTCTTGAAGGGTTCAAATTTGATATGTAAAAGGTGCAATTGATAGCTACTGATACATCACAATTATAAAGGCATGTTCAAAAAGCTTGTGATTTTAAAGACTTACAAAATCTTTCTAAAGTATCATGCAATATGACATTAAAAAGGCCCAAGCCACCACAATTCTCTATAAATAAAACCAATATCCAATAATTTTGGACTGAGAATAACAACAAACTTATGTTGACAGTACACATCCAGCCAATAGAAGCACTAAAATCATCAAGGCAAAAAGGGCTAATCAAATTAAAATATATGACTCAGTATGTAGGTATGAAATTCTTTAACTAGGATATTAAAATGCTAACATATGATAAATTTTCCTTTGATTTGATGAGACGATGGATTTGACCAAAACAACCAAAAAGTGTAAAAATTGTGGCAGATTAGGAAAGGTGGGAAGAACAATGCCCCTCACAAAATTCGTGTTAAACCACCTAACCCTCAGTGTGAGATGAGAGTAAATGGTACTTTTTGCCTTGTTAAAAATGCAATGCAAGTAATGACCTACAAAACAACTACAAGTAGTCTTACACATCAATGCATTCCAAAATGAATGACAGAAGCCAAACCCAATATGATATAGTAAAAGAGAGGGTTTTCATAAGTGTACTAGAGAAGAAGGTGACTGAAATTTCAACACCATTCAATAAAATAAATAATTTAAGTTCAACCTTCCTACTGATAATTAAAAGATTGATTAAAATCCATGGTTGCAGAAGAAATACGATTTGACTCTAATCTAAGAAAATATCACCTCTCGGCCTGATGGTCCAATAACACCAGGCCTATTGCATGCCAAGAGAAAAGGAAATTTTATGATTAACCATAATTCAAAGGGAATGAAACAAAATGAAATTATGAAATATGAAAACTGATGGGTTAGTCCAAACCATGTGTGGCACTACTCCATTCCACATAAACAATGATTCATACATAACATAAAAAACACAACTTAGTTATGAACTTGAGAAACATTCCACATTTTACAGAGACACACAGTGTCTGTGATGATACAAATCATACAATAATGGTTAATAACAATAAATACATCTATATACAACAAAGGCAAGCAAAAGCAAAACTTTGAACCACCTTATCTTGAGGAATGGTTAAAAAAGACACACTTCAATCAACACATACTATTGGGAATGATTTCCCATTATGACAACACTTATGAGATTGGTTAATTACATTCTTTTTCAAATGCAAAACAACAAAGCATAATGAAAACAAGTAATGTACACTTGACGTACATTAGTGACATAAAATTTAAACCAAACTAAAGGAAAACAAATTACATCAAATGTAGAAGATAAAACAGTATTTTACCAACTGTGCGTGTAATCTAAAAACAAGTTCTACACTTCTCCATAATAGAAGCCCCACTTTTACATTCTTAGATGAGAATCAAAGAATGGCCTTCCATCAGTTTCCTTCAGGAACATTATTATTATTATTATTATTGATTTCTTGAACATCTGTATCACAGTATCTAAAACACATCACAAACTAATTTGATCCTAAACTTCATATTAGAGAAACACCTAAAGTGCATCATCACCAACTGAGGCTGCCAGGACTCTCATGCTTTTAACCAAGCTTTACAATAAATTTACAGTTGCATCAGTGAAACTTGCCAACATCAATTTAAAGACCACACATTAAACAGAAATATAACTCTTATGAACAGATAACATATAAAGCCAAAGCTAAGTACTTAAAAGATAACATCTTATGAAGTGACATTTATGTGAAAAATAACACAAAAGTTAACTGCAGTTGTTGTCCAGTCAGCTCCAATAGCATTTCTGTATGTAAGAAGACCTTTCAGTTAGATTCTTGATTGATAGAAAACAAAAGACAATAAGCACAATCGCGGCAAAACCCACCTATTCGGGAAACCAAAGGCCAGGCTGGTACTGCGTTTTAGCAGGACTTAGTGGAGCAAAACCATACGAGGCTGCAACCTGAGTATGTGATGAGAACACAGCAGGCTGCATGTGCGCTGGCAATGGATGTGCAGCATGAGATGCAATCATAGGTCGAGCACTGGCATGATGGGCTGGGGGAGGGAGGGCCCTTCTGTAACAGATAGCAAACGTAAATCAATAAGAAGAATAATAAAATGGCACTAAATGAAATAAAACAAGCAGGTAGCCGTCTTTGAATTATGCAACTAAAAACAATGTGAAGAGCTAAAAAAACGTGAATATCCAGTAAGTTCGAGAAAAGTTTAGGTGGAGGTGCAATTAACATAATGCAATGTAACCAAAACGATTGCCAGTCTGATTCATCATAGTAGGATTTCATGATCACTTTACTCCAGACCAAAAATATATAAACTTCCACTAATTTAACTTTTGAAAAACTGAAGTTGAGATTAGGCCACAAAAACAAGCACATTCCACCCTCCATTGATTTTGCAACTTCGACCAAGCATGCCTTAATTACTTTCATCCTAAAATAGGGACCCATTAGCATGGCCAACCACGACAATCCCATTAGTGCATCAGAAACAGCAGTTAAAACTTCACACCAAATAATATGAACAGCGTCCAGTTCACTTCACCTCAAAGAGACAAAACAAAGCTAAGGCAAGTAAATACAGCAGCCACAACAAAAACGATAAGTCCAAAATTGCGCGTTCAAAGCATCACGGTTTGCCCGTACTCGTACCCTGTGGTGAAAGGAGGGACCTGGTGCCCGGCGGGCAGGTACGCAGGCTGAGTGGTGGTCACATATACGGTGGGGCGTCGGTACAAGTCGGACTGGTGGTACAGGGGCTGCCCCGCCGCCGCCGCCGCTGCCGCCAGCTGGTGCGGGTGTTGCGGCGACAGGCGCGTGTGTGCAGCCGCAGCCGCCGCCGCGTGGACCGCCGCCGCCGCGTGCGCCGCCGCGTGGCTGGCGTGGCTGGCGTGGCCCAGGGGCTGAGGAGACAAGTGAGCCGTACTGTGCCGGCTGCAAGGGAACACGAACACGCTGTCAGTACACCATCCTACTGCTCGGCATCGTAACGGTTGGCCATTATTTCGAACTCAAAAGAGAACAGGCTCAGGCAGTGGTCAGGCGAGTAACCACGCCATGTGAGACCACTCAATGCTCCGCCCCCCTCCGAACAGACAAAAGAAACGACAACCGCCAAAGAGTTGAATGGAAGGGCCAAGTCCCAGCCAATCAGTCATTGATGAATAGCACCCGCTGGCTACTGCTGGCTAATGCTAGCCGTGCTGAACGAGGCTCGAGGCTCGAGGCCGCCGTCTCACCTGTAGCCCTGGTGAAGGGCCGCCGTGCTCCACGACTTGGCCAGCAGGTGCTGGTCCCTGGTGACGGCCACGGCGGCCACGGCGGCCACGGGCTCGCCTCGGTTGTTGTGCGCCGCGGGCGGCTGCGCGTACTCCTTGGGGTAGTCCCGGTGCGTCACCACGGGCACGGACACGGCCGACACCGAGGGCTCTCGCTTGTGGCGGCCGTGGCTGCTGTGGCCGCCGTGGCCGGCGTGGCTGTGGTACGCCATGGCGTGCGCCGAGGGCGGCGCCAAGAAGTCCCTGCCTGAATGGGCGGCGGGCGGCGCCCACGACATGCGCTTGTCTCCGCTGCAACCGAGGGAGAGGGCAATGGTAGCCAATGGCAACGGAAAAAGAAAAAGAAGAGGCAGGTGGCTTTCTGTCAACATACCTGGCGTAGACGATGTGCTGCTCCGGGATGGGTGCCGCCGCCGAAGTCGACACATAGTGGTAGCCCGTCCCAGTGCTCACGGCAACCCCGATGCCACCCATGTCCTTGCAGTTGCCAGGATGGCAGGCCGGGTGAAGCACCTGTTGCTGTTGCACTTGCTGCTGCTGAACCTGCTGTTGCTGAAGTTGTTGCTGCTGCACTTGCTGTTGCTGCACCTGGTGTGTCTGCTGCACTTGCTGCACCTGTTGCTGCACCTGATGTGTCTGCTGCACTTGCTGCTGCTGCACTTGGTGCTGTTGGATCTGAGCCTGCTGCGGATGTTGCTGTGTCTGTTGTTGGGACTGCAGAACCTGTTGACTTGACTGATGATTGTGAGTTTGGTGTTGATTTGGGGGCAGCAGATAGTCCCTGCAATCAGACAAAGCAAGACTTCGTAACATCAAGAATGGCAAATCAGCACAACCAACAATAAGTGACATCCTTTCGTCGGCCGCAAGTTATTCCCAAACATAGCAAACATTCAGATGAAAGCAATTATCACCATTCCATTTGATTCAGTTATGATCGTTCTGACTAAATTAATAGTTTTGGGACTTCTTTATTTCTTTTCGTTTGTTTTTCCTCTTAGCTATTAAGTCATGCAAGTACTGTACAGTAAAGTCATTCTAATATACTACTCCTACAACATGGTGGAAGGAAAAAAATTATGAATAAATTTCAACTACAGAGGGGCTGTACCTATGAGTAAGGGTGTTGTGGATGAGACTAGAATTAGTCATTGTGGTATATTCAGGGCCCTGGGTCATGGCCTGGGTCGCGGCCTGCGTCATGGCTTGATTAATTGCCTGACCCATGGCTTGTCCCATAGATTGGCCCATGACCTGGTTCATGACCTGGCCCATGGCTTGATCAGGGTTCACACTTGTGATCACATTTGTGGCTAGACCTTGACTCATGCCACTCCCTGGCAATCCACACTCCGATTGAGCTTTGGAGAGGAGACGCTTCTTCTGGGAGTGTGATGGTGTGCTGGTCGCATAGCTTGAGCTGCAGAGACAGCACACAGACATGCTTCATATTTCACTGTGTTTCATTTCAAACAACACCCTCTGGCTAACATTAAGAATCCACAAAAGCCTTAACTCTAAAACAATGCCGAGGTATGATACCTTAGCTTTGGTCAATGTTATTCTGTTAAAAACACAACCCCCCGTAAACCGGGCATGAAACTTAAACACACAAGTATATAGATAAAACGCTAAATAATAAATGAAGTGTTGTGGTTTTTTTATTACATTTCATCTTAGACCCAGTCAACTAACGCATTTCCTGTCCTTTTCTAAAGAAGAAAATTTGTTTTCAAAGGAGTGTGAGCTCTATCTTAAAGCCAAGTGGACAAAGTAGAACATGTGGTGCGTATCCATACAAACAAACAAAACAAGAATTACCTGTGGTTCGGTTCGTGCTTGACTTGATGGACGACCTGGGACTGGTGTGAGTGATGGTAAGTGGAGTGCTGCTGCTGGTGCTGCTGCTGCTGTTGTTGTTGTTGCTGCTGATGCTGTTGCTGCTGCTGATGCTGCTGCTGTTGTTGTTGTTGTTGAAGTTGATATTGCTGCTGCAGCAAAGCAGAATGCTTGGCAGGGCTGCGGTGGTCTTCGCCATCGCTGTCAGCAACAGTCACGCACGAGATAACATTGGCACAGTGCCGATTACTGACACTGGCTCCTGCATTGGCCGTTGTTATGGTTGGCACAGCTGTCGCCGCTACGGCGGTGCTGTTCGGGGCAGCAGTTCGGTTAGCCGGAACAGTGTTACCTGCTTGAGATGCAGGAGCAGCACTGCAAACAAAGGATTATTTTACTCAAGGAGCCAATTTCACGAGCACAGAGAAGGGATTTGGAAAGGCATCCTACCACTTTGACGGCGACTCATCTTCACTGTCAGATATTGTTATGACGGAAACAGCAGGTGAGGGAGTGTCCACAATCGTGATGGTGTGCTGCCGCCCCGATATACCGGAGTGTCCCTACAGACAAGGAAGAAATATGATAGATTACCAAGATTCTAGATACATATTAGATGAATGCGATTTATTTATATCTTAATACTTTACCTGTCTGTGAGAAGATCTATGTGAGTGACGTGTTGAGCCACCTACTTGTTGCCATTGGTTATTTTCATTAGGTGTATGCCTCCTTGTCACTCTTCCATTTGCACATTCTAAAACATATGTATTCAAAAAATTAGAACAATGACAAAATTTAATTGCAATAGCTCAATTTGGGTATGTGTTTACCTGAAGGTGGTGTGCTTTCTTTGACTCTCTTCTTGACAGGGCTTAGCTGAGTTTGTTCCTTTTTGCCTTCAGCAGTACGATGGTCAGACCGATGATCCTGCCTATGTTGAGTGTTGGTATGTGTTGCACCAGGAACATTCAACAAATGGTTATGGTGGTGGCCATGGTGATGGTGTTGTGAAACCGTTTGCTGCTGGTTGGCTTTTGATACGCCCCTTTTACTCCCACTACTAGTAGTGTTAGTACCTGCCACATTAGGCCAACTTCCATCAACTAAGCTTGAATCACCCGCTGAGTACACATCAGCAGCCACATCAACAGGAAATACAGGTCGCTGATCCTAAAAATAAATAAGAGATTAATTCAACATGTTCATAATAATAATAATAAGAAACCAAGACCATGAGACAACTTTATGCTTCTTTTGAATGGGATAACTGACCTGCAATAGTGCACTTGAATCCACAATCAGGCCCCTTCCCCATTCCCCAGCATCAGAAAGTAGAGGTTGCTGAATGGCACCTTGATGAGCAGACAACTGCTGCCAAGATGGCACAATTGCCATTTGTCTGTTAGCAGGCCAAGATGTCTGAACAGCATTTGTCAAAAGCATTTGTCTGCCATTGGGCTCCATTACTGATACAGGCACGGGTACATATTGTTGCTGACTGCCAACCTGGAGTAACAAGAGGAGGTTAGTACTACTTCTCTAGAATACAGCCACTGTAAGTCTTCAGGCAGAATGCACACCTGCTGAGATATGATTGGTGGTTGTATTTGCAACTGTGGAGGTGGCTGCTGAGCCACAACTGTCAAATGCTTTGTTGGTGAAGCCATGCTTTGGTAGCCAGGTGGACACAGGATAGAGTTGATAGCTAATTGGTGGCTTGGATACTGCCGCCGTCCATTGTACAATTGATACTGTAAAGAAACATGAATTGACCACATTAAACAAAATTAAATTTTCTGTTAAACAAATCACAAATGAACTACTTACTTGATTTGTCAGTTGATTTGTCAATTGATTGTTGTTGAACGTCAAGGTAACATTTCCATTGGAACTTGGTACAAAGCTAGCTACAAGTGAGGGAGCAGCAGCTGTTTGCTGATGGTGGTTCCCTGAACTTGTAGAGTTGTATGCATTTCTTCGACACACTTCCATCATTTGCACACTTGCCTTGACATTGTTGCAGTGCGCATAGTCCACAAGGTGTGCCAAGTTCACAAAGGAATGATTCAATGCTTCTCCTGGAGTAATACGCCGTTCCTGAAGGATTGAAAAGCCATAGAAGATTGATGAGCGATCACAAAAGGACTTTAAAATATGGACTCAAAAAAAGGATAATTTAGAGAAGGGATATTACCACTTGGTCCATCGTAAGCATTCGTTTTAGAAGATCAATAAATTCTCGTCGATCAGCTTTTTCTGCCAAAAGTTCTCCCCCCTCCAAATCAGTGGGAACATTGACTTGTCCAATATCATCAAGGCAGTTAAATATATACTTTCGGGCTTCCTTCGATTTTATTCCAGTTTCCACCTCATGTTCCTCTGGAGTCTGTTAAAATAGGCAGTGTGACATTATTTAAAATTTAAAACTGAAATAAAGTTAAAAATTTAAAGCAAAATGAGTATTTTCACAGCAAGGTAATTAAATCCTTACTTTGAGTCTCCAAAATGGGTATGTACTGTCCATGTCTCTATAGAAGAATTTTTGTGTTTTAGATGCATTGTTTAGCATGTGTTCAGTGGGTAATCCTTGAGTCTGGCTGATATATCTTATCTGGTCATACTCCGAGGAACCAGGGTATAGAGGCCATCCTAAAAATAATTCGGCCACTACACATCCCAATGACCACATATCGATTGCTTCACAAAATGGTAGACCTGGAAAGACCGATAAGATGGAATAGATAAATACTGACATGAGCAATAAAAACAAGCCAGGAAGACAGAAAAACAAACCTAATATTATTTCTGGTGCTCTATAGTACCGACTTTGTAGATAAGTATTGCATACTGCCTTGCTGACATGAGAAGCACTACCAAAATCAATTACTTTTACTCTGTATGGCTGTCTTTGAGGATCTACTAACATAATATTTTCTGGCTTTAAGTCAGCATGAATGAGGCCAAGTTGCTGAAAAAAATTGAACAAAATATAGAAACACACTTGACATGAATTGAAGGATCAAACACAATTTGATTAATGCAGGTGTTAAATATAAATGTAGATTAAATAAGCATCTAACCTTAAGTTTGAGAAGTGCAGTCAGGACTTGCTGTAATATAGGGCGTATGAACTTGAGAGGCAGAGGAGAGAACTTGTTTTGCTTGAGGAAGTCATACAAGTTCTGCTCCAACATCTCAAACACAAGACATGTGTGGTTTTTATGCTGGAAGCCCTCAAGAGCACGAACAAAATTGAATTCATCTGCATTTTCTTGGGCAAGTCTTGACAATATGCCAACCTGAGATCAAATGAAACAATTTAAGAACAAAACTTTCAGGAGCAAGTCATTTTCAAATTTCAAGGAGACATTACCTCAATTTGTCCCTGTCGGGCATACGATGGATGATTTTTAAGAATTTTAATGGCAACAATTTCATTTGTGCCTTTTTTCCAGCATTTTACCACCTGGCAGAGCAAGCAGGCTTGGTTACCACAAATTTAGAAACAATTTTAAGGATTTTATTAGCACAAAGAGCAGCAAAACGAACCTGTCCAAAGGTCCCCCGTCCCAAGAACTCCAACACCTCATATTGAGTGGTGTTGGAGTAGAGCACCTCATGCTGAACCAGTTGGTAGTCGCCATCTGCAGAGGAGGAGCCTTGAGGGGCCGCTGCGGCTGCCGCACCCCCTCCTCCCCCCTTGCCGTGCGCCGTCGTTGTTGGAGCTGCTGCCGCCGTGGCCACACTATCACCATTACCCTCGCGCGAGCAAGACTTGCGCTGCGGAAAGGGCAAGTCAGGCACAGGTCGTAAGTATTGAGGGGCAACAAAGCAGGGAGAAAGGTGTTGTTATAACACCGTATTCAAGCGGTCATTTAAATTCATAGTTTGTAATCAGCAGTCTCTTCATTAAATAAAAAGCTAAGCTACATAAAACAAACCAAAAAAAAAAAACTGTGACATGTCAAACTAGTCAAACTATTTGAAATCAACAGCACTTAATTAAATTTGAGATTGAAATACAAAAAAAATCATCCAATACACTTAAAACAAAAAAAAAAACATTTAAAAAAAACAACTGGTTAAATTTGGAATCTGGAACATAGATGTGATTGGACCACTGGTGTCACACTTTACCGCCAAACAATAAAACGTTTACTAGTGAAGTTTCCAAACAAATTATGAAAAATAAATTAGTAGATACATTTAGGAAACTGAGTGAACCTTAAGTTACGTATGAACATGAAAATCATCCACAAACAATTTTAATCAAGGAAATACTTCGTTTTACACATTCCAACAGTCTTTAAAAGACATCCACTGATCCGTCAAATACACATCTGGAAAAAGATGGACGACTGTGAATAACTGGATTCGTAGGGTTTCGTAGCAGCTCTACAGATTTTTGAAACCAAACTAGCAACAAATCAATACTACTGGTAACTACTTTTCCTTCAAACGGACACTCAGAAGAATACTCGAAAGCTTTTGACTGTAATTTTAAAACATGTAAAACACCCCAGGATATGTTTTTCTACAGAACAGGCTTGGGACTTAAAAAAAAATCAGGGAGGGAGGAGCTCAAAAGATAATGAATACAGAATTCAGAAAAGCTCTCACAAATTTAGGAATATTACTGACTTTACAAGTTCAAAACTTAACAAACCCTTGAGCTGTTTTGCTGCCCTACGCACTGCTTTGTGCGCACCTTTTGTCCACATCGCTGATAGGTGTCAAGAAGTTTTATGGTGGAGGCACGCACAAAGGTCTGCGGGATGTTGTTGGGACTTCGCTGTACAGCATGCTTAGCAGCACCAACAGGAACAGTATGATGCGGCAATTGATGCTCACTGGTGGATGAATGTTTGGACACCGGGTGAAGGCCAGTCACCTCGTTCAAATTGTAGAGCCCATCAGGCAGCACAGCCAAATCCGCCTGGGGGCACAGCATGAGCCGTGTCAAATATAAGTATGATTCAAATTTTTTTTCTTCTCTTTTTTAAAAATTAAATAAAAATCCACAAGAGTACAATTAAGATTAAGCTTATCATTTAAAACATTGTTAGATTAGGCATTTAAGCCAGAAAAATAGACGCTACTTTCAAGCTGTATTATTCTGGTAGAATTTGTAGAGCAGCTGGTATGATGACTTGAAGCAAATACTGAGTCCTCATTACAAGATGAAAGGATATGTATATGATAGAAGTGCACAACAATGTGTAACAAATCAGTTACCACAGTAAATTTTAGTTTACCAATGAACAACATAGCAAGAGCTAACTGTGTAAACTTTCAAATACTGCAGAAGAAACACACTTCTTTACTTCTGAATGTTGAAAACAAAATCAATAAATATTAAATTTAACTTCTTTAATTTCAAGTCAGGACTTAAGATTTAACTTAATGTTTCTTATTGCTTTATAATGAGTTTTAGGTTTCCAAATGTACGTAGAGTTTCATAGATGAGCCCAAGATGCCAGGATGGATCTTCCTTCTTAGATTTTTCTCCAGATATAACTTTCTTACAATGTAATATGTAGATATCAAATATTTCTGATCGGAAGGTTATTTTAAGAAAAAAACATGGCACATGCTAGGATTGCTGAAGTTAAAGATAAAACTGTATAAGATTTTCAGCACTATTCTCAAGAAAAATTTTAAAACAGATCTAATAATATCGAAATAGGTGTTTGCAAATTTCAGAAGGAAAGGAAACATCATACCTTAAATAAAAAATAATAAGGTGGTGAGGATGACTTTACTCACCTGCCCAACTTGAGGGCTGGGGTCCAACTTCCGCTTCTTGTGAACGTGGGACACGCCAGTGTTCGCTCCAGAGCAATGGATGAACATGTCACAGATTCCCTGTATGTGGGAAACTGGAATTAATTCTCTGTCATAAAAGAATAGGAAAAAAGCAGGATTGGGAGGCATAACAACAAGACAAAAATTAACAGACTAGGAGCATGAGATTAAATAATGTTGGTGAAAACCATAATTAAGAGTAGGTAAGCTTTTAGCATTCAAATGTAGTGAAAAAGAAAAGAGAACTGTCTCAGAATGGTTGATTTGGGTGCCAGGTGTAATTATAAAGCAGACCATCAACTCTCAGCACCTTAAAATAATATTGGGAAAGGTATGAAAGCCAATCGTAACTGAAATACTCTAGCACTGTGTAGGTGAAGTACCCAGTGCTGTGAACAAATAAATTATCAGCCAAAAGAGATGGAAGGCAGAAAAAAATCCAGCTGATTTTTCCTCCCTACACAACAGGTAAAATATGTTCATAAGAAAAACAACTAAACAATGCCATCCAACCAAACAATGTCCAGATGGCAAACAAAGGTTAAAACCTTGGTTAAAACATCAGGATGAAAGAACACCTACAGAAAGGTGCAAAGAGGATCTACCTAGAGCATATGTACAGGTAGCACATAGAATTTGAAAAAGCCTCAGGATAGGTGGATGAAAAGACCAAAAAGAGTTTTCAATGCGAATGATAAAGTTCAGTTAAGAATTCATTTACTATATACTATCTTATTTCCTTTAAGTAACTGACCCCAGTAACACTTTCCTGTTGTTTTATTTCTTTAATACAGGCAAGAGGTATATGACAAGCCTGATAGGTTTATATGGTTCTTCTATTGCCAAGCGAGATGAAATGAGCATATAATGCAAAAATGGAAAAGCAGCACTACAGACTTAAATTGGATTAAAGCTCTTAGTATGCTGCTGCCCCCACCACCAGTTAAAGAAGCTTGACACGTTGACTGTGACAAAACCACATATGAGGTCACATTTTACAAACTGAGATCGTTCTTGGTAAAAGTTGTTGTTTTTATTGTGATGTTAATTTCTTGGTGATGTTAAATTTTACGAGGATTGGACAACCTTGTACCAAAAGCACTGTCGCAACCAACGTGTTAACGAAGAAAGAAATGTTTAGAGTACAATACTTTTCCCCAACAAATTAATGAATGCATGCAGACATGATTGCATTAAATATAGAAAACTTTCTTCCAATCTAGAAGCTAATCTGATTAATCCCATTTACATACCCAGTCTAGATTCCCTTATCAGCATGACGCTTGATGATAGAATCTTGCCTGAGCACACAAAAATATTAAATACACCTTTATTATTTCACCAACAAAGTAAAATGGCACCCATAGATGTTTATCTACATGCCCCCAAATACATTAAAACAGCCCATAACAAATTGATGCAAATGAAGTAATCGATTATAAGCTAAATTGGGGTACAAACTAAAAAGCACGTGTGAACAGGACTAAGCAGCTACATGATCCTGAACACTCAGTGCCGAAATAATAGGAGCAATAATCATAAGAGAAAAATGAATTGAGGAAAGTTAACCCTACCATGAATCTAGTCCCTCTAGGCTAGGCTGGGGTTCACTTGTTGACAACCCGTATGACTGCCTAATCTTCTGCTCCAAGTGTCAAAACAATAATCCAAATACGAGACTGAACGTCCTGAGGGCACTGCCTGGCCCCACCGAACCGCTGGAGCGTCAGCGTTTCGCAACGAAAGCGAGACGCCAGAAGACAGCGACAGCAGCCACGGCAATGGTAAACAAGCGCCGCTTGCTGAGCTGCTACGCCCCGACCCGACCACCCCACCGCGAACCTAGTTTTCATGGCAACTCCGTGGCAACTAGCAGAGACTAGACACCAATAAGGGACAAAACGGGGTCCTGGGTCGCAGGGCCTGTGCCGACAGGAGTCTCACAAACACTTCCATATCGCATCCTCGCCTCGTCGCTTAAAGGGACAACATATGGATGAAAACAAAGCGGCGAGCGACACGGCCAGGCAACCTAGACCTCAATTCGGGTCGTCTCCCAACCACAATACTGACAATATCCCCACTCAATTTCTAGTAGCAGGTACAACCATTTCGTTGGCCTTATTCTCACCTCGATCTTTTCTTGTCCGTCCAAAAGGAATCAAGTTTCATAGTGACATGCGGACAAAGAGGCCTTCAAATACCAGCCATCTTGAAACCCGTGACGGGCGAAACCAAGTTTGTCGGAAGGTTTTTTCTGTTTCTTAGGCCGAAGGGTGCCGCAAGCATAAGGCTTTCACTGGATCACACAATTTCCCCATTAATGAGTTTCGGGCCGTTTCGTTCGAGCGCACAAGTGTCCACGGATCACTGCATTTTCCACTTCATTTTCTGCTTCCAACACGTCCACGACACCGAGATCGCTCACAAGTGTACTACTGTTGAGAGGTTGGGGGAGTGCGGCGTGGTGCGGCGGCGGAGCGTCGGAATCGGGTCGGCGCCGGATCGGTGGGCGAGGAACGTGGCCTTGTGAGAAACATTAAGCCACCTTTCAAATCCAAAAGCATCTCATTTGCACTTTTTTATCTATGCTCTACCTTTAATTCTTCTCACAGCTCAAAACCAAGCCCCGTTTTTCATTCAAAGAATGTTTTGCGACCCGAGTGAGCTCGTTTCCGAATCAACTCCCTCACACGACAAATCTGCTTGCCATTTTTCGCCAGGGCGTTTTAGAGCACCTGCTACAGACAGACACCCGATTTACTCATTAGCATTGTTTGTCAGTTTGGATTGCATTAATGTTACACTCGTGCAGTAAACGCGTCCAATGTAGACGAAGTACCTATTTCGAGCACGCGACTCCCTCCGCGAAATACGGCGTAGATACGGACGACTCAGACAACCTCCCCCCTCCTCCCCCCCCCTCCCAATGCCCTTTTCTCTCTCCCACTCAGTCTACTCAGCCAATTTCACTATCTCTCTCTCTCCCTCGCACGCGCGTTTGCGTGCCTAGAGCGTAGGGGGGCCGAGGGAGGGGGCGTTCATTCATTTGAAGAGGAGCTCTGTCCGCACACGAGAAGCACGGGCTACATTTCTGGCAGTCATTCCCTTTAGAAAAACATGCACTTTCAGTGTAGTTCCTCTGCATAAGCTGCATTACAAAATTTGAATCGTGCTCAAAACTGCTACGCACGCATGTGAGCGTTAGCCGTGCGCGTGTCTGGCACGAGATCAAAAATCCCTCTCGCTTGGCAGACGAGCCGCCCTCTGCGGCCGCCCTGCGTGGCGTGCGGGGCGTGCCTCAAGGCGTGCCTCAAGGCGTGCCTGGCCCCGTGGGGCACACGGAGGCACTGGGTGCCGCTGTGGCACATGCGGTCCGCCATCGCCGTGGTCAGGGATGGGTGGGATGGGATGGACACCCGACACGGCTCATTTTCGCTCTATTTCTTCCGCAAAGCACGGCGAGGCGACGGCGTGCGGGTCCATCCACTGGTGGTGGCTGTGGCGGCAGGGAGAGGCGAGTGCACTACTGCTTCCGGACGTTCTTGCGGGAAGTTGGTGCTTCCCCGCGCCGGCGGTCAGCCGGTCAGCCACCTCTCGCCTGCCTCGCGAGTGGGCCTCGGCGGCCGTGACAGGCTCGCCCCACCGGAACAAGTTCGAAGCGGGAGTAGCGCGGGCGGGCCAGGGTTCGATTCCGTGCTCCGTCATCGGCATTGCGCCACACACCCTAAAGGACCGTCACCCCGCCACGGCGCGGCCCTTCTCGGATAGGGGAGTCCAGCGCCTCACAGAGGCTCACCCGGCCGCCCCGTTTCTCATGCCGGAGTGGCGCGAGATAAGGAGGAGGAGCCTCAACATTTAAGCCCATTGCCGCCTTGCTGCCCCAACTTATCGCTCAAGGTTCACTTCCTTCGAGCCCCACGCTCCCCGTCCCGGCGTCCCCCATGCTCGGCAGGCGGCAGGCTCGTCAGTGCGGGTTGGCGCGGTGGAGCGAGTCGTGAGTCGTGAGCAGTCGTGAGTCCCTGACGTCGCCGTCGTCAACACAGCGAGCCACGCCGTGGTGCTGCGGTAAGCGCCCTACGTTGTCTATGCACCCTGGCCTGGGCCTGGCCTGGGTCTGGCCTGTACGAACCTGTGCTGCGGCGAGAGCGGCGCCGTCCTAGCTGCTAGACGCTAGAAGCCAGCACACACACTGTAACACACTGCCCCCGGCCCAACCGGCCTCCAGGTCGTCCAGGGCCGAGCGAGGCCGAGCACAGCGCTATGCTACGCTATGCACGGCACGCCACCCTGGACACACTCGCGGTCGCGGCCATGCACCCCTTCCTCCTCCACAGTGTTTCACAGGGGCAGTCCCCAGACCACCGTTCGATCCTCAGGAGGGGGAATTTCCCATGATGGCAAGCCAGGCCGCCGCTCCGCCGCGCAGGGAGGCTCCAGGGTTCTCCAGGGGAGGGGGGAGAGAGGGAAGCGCCCCCGGCCACTTGTTGATCAACCGCCCTGCGGTCGCGGACCCTGCGGTTCACCGCGGCACCGCGGCGGTGGCGGCAGGCTTTGCGTGTTCAAAAAAATCGTTAACAATAAAAATTTCCAAGAAAATACAATTTTGCACGATTTGCCGTTCTTTGTGGTGTTGACGGGTGTTGAGGACTCATTATATGCCATTTGTCGACTTTTTAATTACAGTCAACATGGGTATCACGCTGAACCTCCACCCCCTGTCGCCTGCTGTCGGTGGCGTTCTCCTCGCCATCAAGGCCTTGGGGTTGGACGACCAGGTGGTCAGGAAAGAAGTCGACTTGTCCGCGGTAAGGACTCCCCAGGTTCGCTCGTCGGTTGTCGTGTGCCATCTCGTCCACTGAGAATGACAAGTTTTTGTTCGTTGCAGGGACAGTCCCTCCACACGGTGCCCTCCATAGAAGACGGTGGCTTTTGCTTGTGGAACAGGTGAGCAACCAGGTTCTCAGGTTCGCAGACCAAGCCGCACTTTCTCGCGACAAGGCCGGGGAGGCGATGTTTCTGTTCTCTCTTTCCCGCTGATCGCAGTCACGCCATCGTCGCCTACCTGGCTAGTGCCTACGGGGAAGGAGGGAGCCTGTACCCGCAGGACCTCCAGAAACGAGCCAAGGTGGACCAGTGGCTGCACTTCTCCAGTTCGATCCTCTACAACAGGCTTATGGACATGACGGTGCGTCGTCGCCATTCCGCGGCCTCGGCCCAACTTGTGGTTCTACACTGCGAGCGACTGTCCTGATTGGCTGGCGTGCGTTTTGCAGGAGCCCCTGTGGACCAAGCGCTCCAAGGTGGTGTCCGAAGAAGCGTGCGAGCGCGCCGAGGCCGCCTTCCGCATGCTGGACGCGCAGCTGGACGCTCAGCTGGAGGGCGGCCCGGCCTCGGGCCCAGCCGGCCCGTGGCTCTGCGGCGAGGACATGACCATCGCGGACCTCTGCTGCGTGCCGCTCGTCGCGGCCATGGAGGTAAAGATCAATGGAGGATGGATGGATGTTTTCAGGACCATTGCTAACGCATTGCTTACGTCTGTCCGTTTGTTGGGACTAGATCTTCGTCGGGGCATCGAGGCACTTCCCTCGAATGACGGCTTGGGCGGAGCACTGCAGGACACACGTCCCCGGCTACGTGAGTGTGGTGGAGGCGTGCCGTCAGAGGTACATTGCCATCATCACGTCCAAGATGACAGCGTGAGCTCGGTACGCGTCGAGCACCGCGTCGAGCACCGCGCCGAGCACCGCGTCGAGCACGTCGCCGAGCGCGTCAAGCATGCCGTGAAGCACGTCATCCGCGTCAAGCGCGTTGCCAAGCACCGCGTCAAGCATGTCGTCAAGCACTGCGTCACGCACGTCGTCAAGCACCGCGTTAAGCATGTCGTCACCGCGTCACGCACGTCATCAAGCACCGCGTTAAGCGACAACTATATGACTTGAGTTTCCTTTAAAATTGCAACCACTCCTTATTTTTTCCGGGCTTCTGTACTGCTTTGGAACTAGAAAAATAAATCCCTGAGAAAATCTAAGTCCATCGGGTCTTTCCTTTTGAATCCCCGCGCTACTCGGGGCAGGTGGGCCAACATAGCATCTAGAGGCGCGGGTGCCGTGTAGGATTGGTAACGATGAAAAGACAAAAGGATTCATCGGAGTTCAGTTCGATTAGAGTTTGAATGCTCTCATCATAATGACGACTGTTGAAGATAAATCTGCTCGCTTGTAACATATGTCTTTTGAAAATTATGAGTTTGGCAACAAGGCCATCCCCCGTTCGTCCTACCCCACCCCCCCTCTCCCCCGTCCCCATCTCCCGCCACAGCCGAAGGCAAGGTGTGGGATGTTTTGCGTGTTTTGCGTACCGAGCGTTTTGTCTCTCGCTCAAACAAATCAAGAGAGGTCTCTGAAAGGTGAGGAACATGCAATCGGCTATGTCAAATCAATTTCGACCTGTTTCCGTGAAGTCGGAAGGGAGACGCTCGACCTGAAACTATTTACATGTCATTTCATCAGTTTCGCTTTAACCTGCACGCTCTGTCGCTGCACTGTGTATACATCTTATCACAGTTCTTCCGTTTTTGTTTTCGATGTCGTTTCTGAAAATGTTTGAATTATCACTTCAAACTGGAATTTTATTAGAACGTTGTGACTTTTTATAAGCATTGACGCTGTACATAGGCGTTCTCATCCCATCAAAACATTCGGTGCAGGTTATGTTTTCTTGTGGATCTTTTCCCTATCACAGAGGCAATCAATACTTTCATGATTTGATCAAGGATAAGTGTTGGGAGGACATTTTTAATATGTCTGGAGTCGATGTGCAACACCACTGTCATAGTTTGATGGCATTTGCATGACCTACCTCAGCAGGCTTCTCATGTGTCTCTCATGCCTCCAAGGTTTTGTTTTTAATGTTCATCATTAGAAAATCCCTGTCATTGAACATCTTGCACAGCTTCTAGACAGAAATATTTCCATGTCCCTAGAGAAAAAATCTTACAGGAGTGGGATTGTTTCTCTTAATGTTTATTTCTTAGTCCATTTAGGTATCCAACAGTCTGTATTTATCTTTCATTTTTCTTCCTTTTACAGGTTTATTCTACTTCATGCTTGATGTCCATTTCTGGAAAGAAAACCTAACTTAGTTGGTAAGTTTCAATTTTGAATTTTGTTTGCTTATTGAAGTTTGTTGGTTGGTCATGTCAGCCTTTCTTCATTTTCTCTGGCATGTTTTAAGGGCTGGATCTACATTCTCATTCCAGAATTATCTATGAAACATGATGCAGCACCCGAAGGACAAAAAACGGACTAGATGGGATAATTGTCCAGACCAGCCAAGGGCTTGGCCCAACCAGCCACCTCCACAACCTCTGAGTTGGGGACAGGGGCCAGGGCCCTGGTGTTATCCTCCCCCTCCCCCTCCTCATGTCCTTCCTACTCTCCATCCTCATCATCCCCTCCCTCCTCCACCTCCTCATCACTCTCACCCTCCTCCACTTCCTCACCACTCTCACCCTCCTCCACTTCCTCACCACTCTCACCCTCCTCCGCCTCCTCATCACTCTCACCCTCCTCCACCTCATCATCACATCCACCCTCCTCCACCTCCTCGCCCCCATCATTATTATTCCGAGTTGGATCAATTTTCTGCTGCTTATCATAGTGACAGGTATGATAGGCAAAATCCTTTTCAAAATCCGTATCAAACTCCATTTTGGCCTAGTTATGGAAATACTGGACATCAACATGTCCATGACCAGAATGGTCACATCAATCTCCGGAGTGATGGACTACCAGGAAATATTAGGGAAAATTGCAGAACTTCTGTAAATTTTAATGGCGAAGAAAGTGATAACTGGAACCCTGGAGTGAGTTTGGACCCACTAGTTTGTCCAGATGTTCAGAGTTCAGCAACTGGGACTGTCAAGGATGCAGGAACCTCTCACACTGGAGGAAAAACTCAGAAGAATCTAACTCAAAAGAAGGCCGTTGATAAGAATGCAAGTCCAAAGGAAGCCCATTCTCAAAATAAAAAAAATAAAAAAGAGAAGAAAGTGAGCTCTCATATATCACCATCCAAAACATTGTGCCCTAGTGGTAGAGTGAAATCTAAGTCGGGCAATACACTTCAAAAGTCACCCCTGAGACAACGTTGTCAAAGGGGAAGTGGTGTGCAACAAAATGGCTGTGATAACTCTGAAAGATTGCCATTGTCTGTTAGAAGGAGCCCACACAATAGCAATGGTCCATCAAGCAGAGCCTCTTTGCCAGGTGGGAGAGGTGGTCAGAATGTCAGTGGTGTTTCAGGCAAAGGGGCTCAAAATGGGGTTGGTTATTTTGTCAGATCCCCGATACCAGGTGGTAGAGGTGGTCTGAATGGCAGACCTCCACTGCCTTTTGGAAGAGGAGTCCGTAGTCCATTCGGCAGAACTGGTGGAAATCAATGGAATGGCACAGGTGGATCTCGAGTTTATGATGATTATGATGATGAAGATAATGAGAGTGATGAAATTCACCAGTGGCTGGTGAGCAGTAAGGGCAATGAATCTTTATCTGGGAAAGACAATGATTCTGTAAACAAAGATCCACTGCCTGGGAGTGAAGAAGCAAGGAATAATGCAATAAAAGAAGCTGCTGACCGACTTAAACAAGCTTTAAAAACCAAGAAGAATGTGAATCTTAATAAGCTTCTTTCTTCTGGTGAAGAGTCTAAGAACGACAATCAAGCTCAAAAAACACTGAAAACATTTCCCAAGAATTTAGCTCAGCTTGAACTGGATGCAAGTGACATGAGAGCCATTGGTAGAGCGAACACTGAGAAGACCAACTGTCATGCAGAAGATGATTCAGATGATGACATAATTGAAGTTCAGCGACCCCCCTCACCTGTGCACCAGGTCATTGACCTTGAGCCAACCAATTCATTTCATAATTGCAGTAGTTCTTCTGACAATAATAATAGTGATGATAATGCGAGTGATGATGATAGTGATGATGTCCCCTTAGGAAAGAAACTTGGGCATGTACAAAATCTATGTCTTGATGAAGATGACCCACTTAGTTCAAAATTAGACATTACTTCGAACCCAGACCTTGATGGCGATGATGTACCATTAAGTACAAGACTTGCACATGTTCAACATCATATGTGCATTAATAGAAATCTTCAACCTGACAATAAGAACAGGAAAGAGGATCATCTCCCCTTACCATCATCAATGGAAGAATCTGAAAGGCCCACAAATTCATGTAATGTAAATCAATGTGAAGTCAGTCAACATGAATCGTCAGTCTCACAAAAGAATAGTTCTCAAATAATGGTGCCCAACATTGGCAGTGCACACAATATTTTGAATGTTGAAAGTCATGATGAAAGGAGCATGCATAGTCCTGAAAGCGGTCATGTACTATGGAAGGCTTTTTCACCAAGAGACAGAGCATGCTCTCCCAACAAGGGAAGACCATCTCTTTCGCCAGCACCTAATTTAGACCAGAGAAGAAGACGATCATCATCGTCATCGTCATCCTTGTGCGAGTCTACTACCACTCAAGGGGTACACAGAGGCTTATCAAACTCACCTGAGCAACCTTCAAAGCCTGACAACGTGGAGCCCTTATGTCCTCTTTCTCCGTTTAAAAGGATTTATGATTCCAAACAAAGAAAAATAATTAGTGACCTTCAGAAAATCAATCAGAGCAAGCTCAAGGATCTCATAAATAACCCAAGGTCTGGTAAATTTGATTTTGCTATGAAACAATTAATGAAAGAGCATCGTAGTGTTCTTTCTAAACTGTCTCGAGAAGTTGCTGAGAGGAGGATCCCGGCAGAATATCTCAACCCAAAATCAACAGAGTTGCCACCGGACGATAGCACCCTATTAGCAGATTTTGCCATAGACTGGTCAAGCCTACCAGGAGAGCTGATATCCACCCTTGGGGACCTGTTTTCTGATTTCAACTCAGAAACTACCCTGAATATCGGCGAATCACAGTGTAATACTTTAAGTGAGCCATCTGATTCGCCAGGTAAGTATCATGATTTTACTTTTTTTTTTCACTCATAGTTGTGAAGTGTCTTACTTTCTTAGGTTGATGACTATTTCAACAGATGGCTTGCTTCATTTGTTTCAGATATTGAGCTCCTGTCCGCAGATAGAAGAAGTTGTCAAGGCCAAAAAGATGATCAGGTAGAAAAAGAGAAAGATGGTTTGGTACTGGCACCAGCAATCAGTAAAGATGCTTCAAGTTTTGTAAAAATCAGGGTCTGTCAGTTTGCTCGTGAAGAGCTATGTTCACCCTCAGAAAATTATAGACTGGAAAATAATATTGAACATCCTAGTCCTTGCCCTCTGCCAGCACCTGTTAATACAGAAACTGATCTCCTAGTTGGAGAAAAACAAGTGCAAAGGGGCAACAGTGACTGGAGCTGGCCAAATGAGAGCAGAATTGAATGCAGGACCCAGGAGGCAAATTCAAATCAAACTAATTACCCAAATCCTACTTGCATAGCCCCCAGATCTTCAGAGGACTTTGATGGACCAACAAGCGAACCATTAATTATGGATAAAGAGACAGAGCCTCTGCAGTCAGTTGATACTGTTTCTGCCAACCGCAGCTTGACAAGTGCTGTCGGTGCTGTCAAAACAATGAAAAATAAAATCAAACCTGGAAAGGTAAAAAAGAAAAAAAAGAAGAAAATGGCTAACCGACATAAGCGTCTCCAAAAAAAGAAATTTGTCCGTCTTGAAGAAAGAAGTTGGTTTGTTGAATCAACTTGTTCTAAAAAGTCCAATTCATCCTGTGAGTCTAAATCTAAAAAAATCACTCCTAGTAATCCCTCTTCACAAAATGATAATGGAACATTTCCTCAATGCAATGGATCTTTTCAAATATCTGAGACAGTTTCATCTGAAAATATTGTTGAAGAGAGCAGAAGAGGACTTAGGTCGTCTATGAGCAATGAAAGCCAGAGGAACCTACCTAATGACAACCCATCTTGTTCTATAGAGTCAAGTAATATACCAGCCGTTCAGCAACAATCTATGTCAATGCTACCTGTTCTCATGATGACTGTTCCTGCAAATGAGACTTTAAGTGAAGTTTGCAACTTATCTGTTCCTGAGATGCAGAAGAGAATTGAAGAAATAGACAGGATGTTGCAAGATTTGGTTCAAGAGAGGTGTGGCCTTTCCCAATCTTTAAGAGCTGCTCTGGCAGCAGACCCTCTTCAAAACACATCAGTAATACATTCTGCTCCACAGTCTTCAGGACAAGATGCTGTTGCACTGGTAGAAGTCAATGAAATTGGTGTTGTTTCTAATCATTCTGCTATTGGAGATTCTGGGGAAACCTCAAAACGAAAGTGTCCTTATGATAATCAGAAAACTTCGAAGCGGGTCTGTCATGATGACTCTGAGAGTGTGCAAAGCATTGTCAATTCTGACTTAAATGTTCAAGGTTCTGTTAGTAATGAAAATTGTCTTGAAAGTCCTGGCAGTGAGGAGCTTGTTCAAGTGCAGTCAAAGAATTCACCAAAAGAGCACCAAAATCCTCCATGTAAAGGTTTAGTCACTTCACAGTCTAGTGATGTACAATTAGAGGTTGAGCTTGATCACTTCCTCAATCATCCTCCTTTCAAAATCCATCCTTTAAATGAGGTTAAAGGTCTTATACATTGTATTAAGGTATGTTTTTGTTAAGATTTTTATGTTTTTACCCCAATCTTATTCTTGTACATTTCCTCCTTATTCCATACTGTTGTAGACTTGTGACACTAGTATCTATGCCTCTTCGGAAAATGGTCTAGTGTATTGGATTATTGATGCTGAGCCACAATACCTTCAAGGACATTTTGGTGAAAAAAACGATAGATGTGTTAAAACCATTGAAATAATAGAATCACGTTTATATGCTGCAAGTTTCTCTGGCCAATTGAGCATCTATGATATTCCGGTAATTTACATTTTTGCATTACTACAGGTGCCAGCGTCTGCCTGTACCATGTTAACTTAGTATTTGTTTTTCTCAGGATCTTGTGCCAAACTGCTATCTTTATCCAAAACCCAAACATAGCTGCACTCTTGGGGTATCTTTAAGTAGCTCTGTGTTTGATTGGGACAGAGTTTACTGTGGATCAACTGAAGGATCTGTGATTCCCTTTAACACAAAGGTAAGTAGTACTTGCTTTTGAATAGTAATAATGATATTAATAATAATTGGAAAATACCTTTACCAATCTGAAAAATTTTAGAGTTTTCTGGTTGAAGAGAAATTGTTTGATGGTGGACATCCCGTTTTGTCAATGACCACCAAAACTGATTGTGAAAGAAGGTTTTTAATTGTCGCCTATCGCCGTCATCCTACAGAAATACGTGATGCTGAATCAGGTCTGTGTGATGCAAAATTTTGCATTTAATCTTGAGTTTTTTTTTGTTTTTTTTTAAAGTGCTGTAACTGTAAATGCTATTGTTTTTCTAATCGATGTGTCTTAGGAGTGCTGCTTCGGTCTTTTGGTGGTAGTGAGTGGACTGTGTACACTGTTATCTGCCATCGCAACTTGGTGTACTGTGGTGCAAACAAAAATAAGATCTTGGTGTTTTGGTTTGAGGTAAAATTGTACATATGAACGGGATGTTGTCTGTAAACAATTGGAAACTATATAGTGTGACTGTTTCTTTGCAGAGTGGTAAGAAATGTACTGAACTAGTTGCAGGCCTTGGGATAATTAATATGAAATTGTACAACGATTATCTTGTGTGTGGTTGCCATGATGGTGAAATTTATGTCTTCAATTTAAGGGTAAGATAACCCCCTCCTCCTCCCCTCCAACCCTCGTCTCCTTCATTCTTGTTATTTTCTGTTGTTCAAAACTTTGCATTGTTCTGACCTTTTAGCTTCATGTATTGATTTCTTCACTGAGAGGCCCTGGAGGTATAATTTATTGTATCAATTTCAATCGTCAAAAGGTATGAGCTCCAGTTGGCATTTTTTCCTAACAGTACCCTGCTCATTTTTTACTTATCTTTAAAAACCTCATGTGTCTTTTTCTTCTCAGATGCTGTGCAGTACAGTGATTAAGTCAATGTCCTGCATTACTGCCACTCATCAAAACACACTGGTTATGCATTCTGCTGCACAGTCTTCACGGCAAGGTTGTGCTGCACTGATTAAAGCCAATGACATTGGTGTTGTTCCTAATCATTCTACTATTGATGATTTTGGAGAAACCTCAAAACGAAAGTGTTCTTCTAATGATAATAACAAAACTATGAAGAGAGTGTGTCATGATGTCTCTGAGAGTGGGCAAAATAGTGCCAGTTCCAGCTTAAATGTTCAAGATTCTGGTAGTATTGTAGATTGTCTTGAAAATCATGCTAGTGTGCAGCCAGCTCAAGTAAAGGCAAAAAGTTCATCCGAAGAGGGACAAAATCCTTTAAGTAAAAGTTTAGTCACTTCACAGTCTAGTGATGTACAATTTGAGGTTGAGCTTGATCACTTCCTCAATCATCCTCCTTTCAAAATCCATCCTTTAAATGAGGTCAAAGGTCTTATAAATTGTATTAAGGTATGTTTTTGTTAAGATTTTTATGTTTTTACCCCAATCTTATTCTTGTACATTTCCTCCTTATTCCATACTGTTGTAGACTTGTGACACTAGTATCTATGCCTCTTCGGAAAATGGTCTAGTGTATTGGATTATTGATGCTGAGCCACAATACCTTCAAGGACATTTTGGTGAAAAGAACGATAGATGTGTTAAAACCATTGAAATAATAGAATCACGTTTATATACTGCAAGTGACTCCGGCCAATTGAGCATCTATGATATTCCGGTAATTTACCATCTATGCATTACTACAGGTGCCAGCTTCTGCTTGTACCATGTTAACTTGGTATTTGTTTTTCTCAGGATCTTGTACCAAACTGCTATCTTAATCCAAAACCCAAACATAGCTGCACTCTTGGGGTAACTTTAACTACTACTGTGTTTGATTGGGACAGAGTTTACTGTGGATCACGGGAAGGATCTGTGATTCCCTTTAACACAAAAGTAGGTAGTACTTGTTTTTGAATAGTAATAATGATATTAATAATAATTGTTGAATACCTTTACTAATCTGAAAATGTTTTAGAGTTTTCTGGTTGAAGAGAAATTGTTTGATAGTGGACATCACATTTTGTCAATGACTACTAAAACTGATTGTGAAAGAAGGTTTTTAATTGTCGCCCATCGCCGTCATCCTACAGAAATACGTGATGCTGAATCAGGTCTGTGCGATGCAAAATTTTGCATTTAATGATGCAAAGACAGGGGTTGCATGATTGATTGATTGAATCTTGTGGGTTTTTTAATAAAGTGCTGTAACTGTGAATGTTATTGTTTTTCTAATCGATGTGTCTTAGGAGTGCTGCTTCGGTCTTTTGGTGGTAGTGAGTGGACTGTGTACACTGTTATCTGCCATCGCAACTTAGTGTACTGTGGTGCAAACAAAAATAAGATCTTGGTGTTTTGGTTTGAGGTAAAATTGTACATATGAACGGGATGTTGTCTGTAAACAATTGGAAACTATATAGTGTGACTGTTTCTTTGCAGAGTGGTAAGAAATGTACTGAACTAGTTGCAGGCCTTGGGATAATTAATATGAAGTTGTACAACGATTATCTTGTGTGTGGTTGCCATGATGGTGAAATTTATGTCTTCAATTTAAGGGTAAGATAACCCCCTCCTCCTCCCCTCCAACCCTCGTCTCCTTCATTCTTGTTATTTTCTGTTGTTCAAAACTTTGCATTGTTCTGACCTTTTAGCTTCATGTATTGATTTCTTCACTGAGAGGCCCTGGAGGTATAATTTATTGTATCAATTTCAATCGTCAAAAGGTATGAGCTCCAGTTGGCATTTTTTCCTAACAGTACCCTGCTCATTTTTACTTATCTTAAAACACCTTGTTAAAATGTATGCATGTGTCTTTTTCTTCTCAGATGCTGTGCAGTACAGTGAATAAGTCAATGTCCTGCATTACTGCCACCTATCCACTGGAGAAACCTAACACACTGAGAAAAGAACAAGATGAAGTTCTTGCAGTTTCTGATCAGAAAAAGGATAAAGCTTCTGAAATTTCAAAAAAGGAAGGTGGCCAAGTTGGTGTTGTTCTCAAAGACCTTAATCTTGGAAGTTATGCTTGTCGTAATGATCTTGCGGGGAATATTCTTGCTATAAAGGTATTTAAAAAAATTATTTTTTGAAAATTATTGAAATTTGTGAGTGTTTGAAGTTTTTCCTTCTACGTTCACTTGGTGCAGATTGCTGGTGATTCCGATGTATTTGCTGCTTCTTCAAACGGCCTTGTTTATTGGTTTAGAGGAAGGACTTGGAAGGAACAAGTGCATTCAACCTTTGGCAAAATCAAACCCAATGGTTCACTTGGTGCTGTTACCTGTCTTGAGGTAGTGAAGTCTTCTTTGTACACAGGAACTGAAGATGGCATACTCAGCATTTATTCCATTCCGGTAATTGACATTAGGGGGAAAAAATCATTGCTTCTTTGCTGGTATTTTTGTTCTGTGCTTATGTTTTATTTTATCTTTGTCAGTTAAAGCCAGAAGGTACAAAAATTGTGGAGCCAATCTTAACTTACAACATTTCAAATGGAATTCAGTGCATGGAGTCTTGTTGGAACTTCCTCTACATTGGGACCAAAGTTGGATCTGTTATTCCATTTAATTTAGATGTAAGAACTCTTGTTTCTACCTTACGTTTTATAGGTTGCTGTCTTGATTCAAGCTATATCTCACTGTTTCTGTTTTTTTTTCTTTTTTCTGTCTCCCTAAATTTCAACTTGTACAGGCTAAAGAGGTTGGGGAACCCTTATCATCAGGTGACTACCCTATCCTATGTATAAAAACTCACAAGGAAGGACCAAGGCGTGTGCTTATTGTTGCATCTCGTCAGCAAACTATTGCTATTCGGGATGCATTGTCTGGTGAGAGTCTTTCTGTCTGTGATTTATCGTTTGTTTTGCATCAACTAAGATTCTATTTTATTTCAGGTCTCCTCCTGCGTTCTTTTGGAATTAGTTCTCCAGAATTAACTGTTTACAGTATTCTTTGCCACAACAATTTGGTATACTGTGGATCAAATACAAATAATATTTTGGTGTATGATTTCCAGGTATAGTTATGCATTCAGATTTTAAAGGCAATGAAATGTTGATGTTATTGTACAATTTTTTTTTGTGGGGTAATGGAGTATAAATTTATCTTATTATTTTAGAGCGGAGAATTGAAATTCAAACTTCATGCTGGACAAGGTATTACTGCCATGAAAGTTTATAATGATCACCTTTTCTGTGGCTGCTATGATGGGAAGATCTATGTGTTTAATTTAAAGGTATGTGTGCAATGTCTTAAAACTTTGTATTTCTAGCCATTTACCACCCTGTAAAATTATTTCCTCCCTTTTAGACGCATAACCAAGTGTGCTCAGTAAATGGTCCTGGCAACATGATTCTTGCTCTTGACTTCATGGGAAAAAGCGTATGTGTACATCCTCTATTTTTGCTCAATTCAGTATTTGATCTGTTGTTAATTCGGTTATACTTTTTCAGATGTTGTGCAGCAGTAAAAGTTGTCTTCTCACTAAATATAAGCATCCATTATACACATACTTCAGAGACTGCATCAACATGATAAAATGAAAGCATCACTTTGGATAGGAAGATAGAAGACTGCTAAGGAAAGCACCCAACAAGAAAAGAAACAAAATTGTTGTCTCAATTTGTGTTCTCTCAATTATTTAAAAACATAGACTGTGATATCAAATGTTACTTTCTTAATTATTAACTAAGCAGTGTTTCTCAAGTGTGCTCTTATCTTTAAGTTTTGTCAATTTAAATGAGACTGCAAGAAAGGGGTAGGTAATTTTATTTGTATTTCAATTAATGCATTATTTTATGAATGTGCATCCTCTAGTTAGCGAATGCAACTTACTGTAGCAAGATATCATCATAAAATAGATTGTTTGCCCTCTCTTTGTGATTACCAGTGTCATAATTTAGAGAATGTCATGCCATTCTTCAAAACTTTATATGTTCTATTAAATAAATAAGTTCTTCATGTTTCTATACCTGTGTGTAGTTTCATTTTACATTTCAAACCTCTAATATTTTGTAGTTATGGAGAGGGGCAGTCAGAGGAGTCATCTTCACAACTTTGGAAGTTGCCTGTCCCTTGTGTGGAACGTGGGACTTCCCTTTTGGACGGTGGGGAAGGACCGAAGGACGGACCGAACGGATTCGGCACAATGGGCATGCCCACCACGACCTTGGCGGCCTGGGCCAGTGGGCCTGGGCCCCCGGGCCCCGCTTCTTCGCTCCCTACCAAAGTTCACTAACTTTGGCAGAATGGCTTTTGACATTTTCTGTGATGGCTCTTGCACGCGAACGTCCAATTATTTTTGAACGAAACACACTGGCCATCCTGTGTTGAATGGTTGCGAAATCCCTTCTGAATGAAGAAAGACCTCTCACTGTAGGAAGCCAATGTCAGAAAGATGGAAGAATTTTCAATCGATAGAGTGAAACCGGCTTCCTTGGTCGGAGTTTCGTGCTGGATTCGTCCCTGTGGAGTGTGGATTTGGGATTGAGTTGATGTTACGCCCCGCCCCGCTCCTTTCCCATGCAGATTACACCAATCCTATTTTTTAAACTAGCGATTTTCGTATCAGGCTGCCTGCCTTTTATTCTTTTACTGCGGACACTGGTGACTGCAGCCTGCGTCCGGGAGCGCAAGGCGCCAATGCTGTGGGAAAACGGGTGCGTGGTGCGTGAGGTGCGCGCATCGTCGGCATCGCCAGGGTCAGATCACGCGCCTCGAGCCTCGCGTCGAGGTGTCGAGGTGCACTGGTCCGTGAAGTCAAGTCCGCCTGGCTGGCTGGCTGGCTGGGTGTTCAGCTTTTCCGGACAGTGCGCCGCACGCTGATCGGGAGGACTGTCAACGAGGGCCGTGCGGTGGAGCCGGGTGTAGCTGCAGTGCGCCATGTGCGCCTCGCTGGAGGCCGTGGAGTAGGATTGGAGTCTCCGCTCCGGGTACGTGGGGGAGGGCTGCCGTGTCGACGAGCGAAAGCAATGGCCAAACGGTCCCTAGTCGGATGGGCGGCCGGCGACCTGGCGCAGGTGCAATCTGCGGGCTGATTCCGAGAGTCGTTTTCGTCGCGCTGCCTCTCTCCCACCTATACTCTGACCAGACTACGAAGAGCCCTTGGGTTCTCGCGGTCGAGGGCTACCTGCAGTGCTAGCCAAGGCTGCAGATGTCATAAACCGCGAGAACTCAGGGCTCTTCGTTTTCTGGTCAGAGTATATACGGGACGCCCCATAAGTGCAAGAGAGCGCGACAAAAACGACTCTCAGAATGAGTCTACTGGGGAATGATGAAGAGGCTCGCCTTTCGACCGGGTGGGCGGGTAGCTGGACGTGCGCGACTGCCTGTCGGACGAGGCCAGAGGCTAACCCCTTCTCTGTATCTCTCTTTGCATCCCAGGACAGATTCTGCGAGACCCTCCAAGCTCCGCAGGGGCAAGGTAGGCCATCGTCTTGGTTTTCGTGCGTAGCACTGGCCTACCTGCCAGGCGCCACCGGCCGCCGAGTCACGAGCAATGCTGCTTCTCCTGATCAGGGTGTAACACGGGACGGGCGTCTGGTGCTCGCCTGGCTCGTCGCCTGGTTATCCTGTACAGGAACGTTCCACTAGGCTGACCCTTCGTGACGTCCTTGCTGTCCTTGCGTGGCCGCGGCGGCGCGGTGGCGTTGTGGCCAAAAACAGGGCCGCTGCGGCGTCGTGCCTGCGATGCATAGCGCAGTCCAATCTAAGTCCAATCCACCGAAAGAGGTGCGATGAATGGCGCTTCCTTGTCCCGCTTCCCTCAAGGCTGCCCTACCCTGCTTGCCCTGCTTCCCACCACAAAGGGTGACGGCTCGTCAATAGACTTGAGGCAGGTCAAGGGGTGGCTGCTATTTTGCTGCAACGGTCCTATTTTAGATGAGGAACGGGGGCAGGGGGCCTGAATGCCGCCAAAAGATAGGTGATTTTCTGGCTTCTGCCAGTGTTCTTAGTGGACGTGAAAGATGCCGTTGGGCCTCCACCCTTGCCTGCCGTTGTTCCAAGCCCCGAGTACGCGGCGACGCGGCAGGGCGGGCTGCTTGCGCTGCTTGCCCGCATGCACCTGTATGCACACGCCCAAGCGGCCCAAGCCACTCCTGCCACTCCGTGTCTTATCGGACTTAGGCGAATGCGGATGGCAGCGGACAATGAGATGCCGCCACGCTAGCGCGCTAGGTGTGCGAACGTTCCTATCAGCAGTCATTTTTACTGCAGGCTGAGCCAGTGGTGCCAGCGGCAGCAGGTCTCGCAGGTTCAATTCCCGCTGGCCGCAGCCGCCCCGTCGGTGCCGCAACCCGGATCGGACCGGACGCTCGCCAGGGCGGGGGGTATTTTTAGCCCCCAGTCCAAGGCGCCTTCGGCCTGTGCGCCTGGGTGGCCTTGACTCGGAACCCCTAACCCAGCCATTCGCCAGTCGCGGTGGCGGTGGTACCAAGTGCGGCGCCTCCAGCCCAACCCCCAACCCAAGGCACGCCACGCACCACCATGTGTACGCATGCCGTCGGGGCCGGGGTGGCTAGGTACCTAGGGGGCGTGGCGCCGGAGCGGCCCGCCAGGGCCCGCACATCGCGACAAGGCCTGTGATGATCATGGGGCCGAGGACGTCATCGGTCACTGCCACTGGTTCAGGAAGCGGAGTATCGACCCTCAGCCACTCGCTGTCAGCGCTCTCGCTGGGCGCAGGGCCGACGCAGGGCCGACGCAGGGCAGGGCCCACTAGCCGCGCTAGCCCAGGCAGCGAAGGCAGCGGGCCGATCAGACATCCGACCGGCCCGGCGAACCGACGTCGCGACGCCGCTCCCGCCGCCACTCCGCTCGCGGCAGGCGGGGCGAGCAGAGCGCAGAGCAGAGCAAGCGGAGCACAAGGAAGCCGAGAAAACGACGACGCGGGACGCGGTGCCATTGAGGACGTGGGCGCGGACGCGAGGCGTGCGTCACGCGCACGTCACGCTCGTCACACGACACCGGGCTGCCTTGGCTGCGTCCGACCGGTGCGGTCCCCGCCGGCCCTTCGGTGCTCGAGCGGCGGTGATGGTGACGGCCTCGACGGTCTGCAGGGCGTCCGCGGCGGCGACTCTTGAGGTGCGTGAGTGGCGACGGGCGAGGGAAGGCCCATGCCCTGTCGCCAGCTGCGGCGGACTGCTGCGCGTCGTCGACGTGTTCGTTTGTTTCGGGAGAGAGAATGCACAACCGAACTGGAAGGGAGGGCCAGGGGCGCTCACCGTGCTGCTATCTCGAAAAGGAAACAACGAAAACTCTCGGTGATCTTGCGTTGTTATCTCAGGCCGTCAATGGGGGCGCTCGACAGGCGGAAGCGTGAGAAGGAAGATGTCGCGGCCGGTCGACTGCCAGGCCAGTGCCACGCACGGCCACGCGTGACCATCGCCAAGGCAACCCGGCAAGTGTGGCCCAAACACCGAAACGACCAACGACGACGACTGGGCGTCGCGTCAGTCGCGCCGTGGTTACAATGTCGCAAGCGCCTCTCTCTCTCTCCCCTTCCCTCCGGGCCGGCTGAAGGATAATCACGGACAACCTGATAAGGAGCTCCGCCTGGGCCTGCAGGGCCCCATTTCGGGTAATTCCTGAAACGCGTCAGAAATGCCCCAATTTAGTCTGCCGTCAGGTCCTTCCGGCGTTTGGAGCCGGGCCGGAAGCACGTAGTTGTGAATGTGAACATGTCACATTGAGGTGCGTTTAGGAGACACCTAGGTTCCTTTCTTTTTCTCGGAGGGAGGGGTTTTTAGCTGCTTCCCATGTTTCACTAGCGGGACGTCCAACAAATCATTTCATGAGTAGCTCTTGTCACCACTTGATGACTTCTGTCTCTAACCGTGTTCAGCGCGTGTCTGTTTGCGGCCGCCGCGCAGGGATAAAGGAATGCCCCTTATCAACGGCAGCCTTAATCGCTCACTCACCTTCACCCATTGCGCTCCTATTTCCGCGAGCATCGAGCGCTGAGAACCGAGCAACAGCAACAGCCCCGTGGTCGAGCTGAACGGCAACGGCGTTGAGTCGAGCACTCGCGCGACAGGGCTCAAATCTCCCGCCTGCGTGGCGCATGATTGACTGTCACTTTCCGTTTCCGCCTCCAAGGGAAGGGAGGGGAGGGGAGGGACGCGTGGTGTTTTTGTTGGTTGTGTTGCTGTTACTCTTGTTGTTTTTCCGCGGCTGATGTGGGCTGATGCGTGGTGTGTCTGATGTGTAGTGTTGTCGCAACGCAAGGCGGCAGTCAGGATTTTGTCTGGAAACAAAGGTAATAGATTGTGCTTCTTCTGATAAGGCGGCTCTTCTTGAGATCCATTACTTTGCAAGTTTCTCTTGGAGATGCTTCCAGTTTGAATCGTTTGAAGGACCATAGAAGGTTATGATGGTTCTGGGCCTTTAGGACTCCAGACTACGCCTGTCAACTTCAAGTATACTAAACCATACTTTAACACTTCTTGATTCTCTTCTTAACTTTGAAATATTGCTATTCTGTCAGTTATAATGTTGCGCTCTGTCCCTTTTGTATCGTGTCATACAAGTGTCAAATGTGCTTTGCTTTTTCATTGTAAATAACTTACGTATTTGTTTTTCTATTATTTCCAATCAAATTCTAGAGAAGGAAAATTTTAGATGTAACGACCTTACTTAAGGCTCGTTTAAAATATCAAATACATTTCACTTTGTTTCAGATGTATTGATGCTGACTCCCTGCGACGTATTCATTTATATTATCTTTAGTCTGATTTCGTGAAGAAAATGGCTCAGCCAAGCAATATGTTCCTCTACCGGAGGTTTGCTCTGGTACTTTTTATTTTGGGCATATTTATCTCTGCGGCTATTTGTGAGAAGGAGCCTGTTGACGAATCTGGAGCCCCCAGAACTGAGCCTGCCTTCCCCTCTGTTGTAAGTACTGAACAATCTTTTCGACTGTTGCTTTGAGGGCTGAGAATACCAGACTTATTTTCATATATCATACACATTTTCAGAGAGGTCATGTTGTGGAGCAATCAGATAAAGAAGAAACAAAAGTTGTTACTCCACAAGGAGGTAATCTTGGCTTTATTCATGCATTTGTTGCGGCAATATCTGTCATTGTGGTTTCTGAACTTGGAGACAAGACTTTCTTCATTGCTGCCATAATGGCCATGCGGCACCCTCGATTGACAGTATTCTTGGGTGCTGCTTCTGCTCTTGCATTTATGACTGTTCTATCAGGCAAGTTTTTGGTTATCATTTGTGTTGCAATCAGAGGATTGGCCACTGGACTCCTCATCTGTTTTATTATGATATTGTATCTAACAAATTCCTGTCAATTTTACAGCTGTTTTTGGATGGGCTGCAACAATCATTCCAAGAGCCTACACTTACTACATATCAACAGCTCTCTTTGCTATTTTTGGCCTTAAAATGTTACGTGATGGATATTACATGTCTCCTAATGAAGGGCAGGAGGAATTGGAAGAAGTTCAGTCAGATTTACGGAAGAGAGAAGATGAGGTAAGAGAGATTGTGTGGAATGAATCTTCTAACGGTTGTGTTCGAGTGTATGCTGCTTCGCTTTGCTTAGCATCTGCCAAATGTTGCTCTTGACACCATTCTCATTGCTCTTTCTCTAATTTGGTGGTGTGTCACATTTGAAAAAGAAAATGTATTCGTGTAATTCTAACAACTGCATGCACCTCTCATTTGCTTTTTCTGGGTTTAATATTTCACACTTTGTCATAAAATATTGAGGTCCATTATTTGCCTTAAATGCCACAGAAAAGTCGCGAATTTCTTTGGTGTGTATGGTGTAGTGGAGCCTTAAGTCTTGTTGTTTTTGCCTAGTTAGTTTTGATTAAGTACTTTGCACTTTAAGTATGAACTTAATGCTAAACCCTTTAGTACTTTTATAACCATAATTTGTAGATAATCTAGATGTTCAGCAGTTGTTCGGCCAATACAATATTTCAACTAGGTTACAAATGTTAGAGTTCTGTGTATCTTCTGTTGGTTTTTAGTTCATGTATCACTATCTATTTATTTATAATAATCAACAATTTTGTTATTGGATTGGATGGTCTGGCCCCATTGTTTGTACAAACTTAGAAGTATAGATCTACTTGTTCTTTATAGAGGAAAAAAACAAAACAAAAACTTTGAACTCCCAATTTTGATCCGTAGGGTAAGAATAGAGAAGATCAACAACAAGAGGTTGAAGCTGATCTAGTGGTGAGTTGTTGTGTGTAGATGTTAGCTAGTAAGATATTAACTGCAAGAGAACTCTACAGACTATTGAAGTACTTCTGTTTGAGACTGAGCCTTTGCTTGTTTATATTTGTAACTTAGGTGCAACCTGAATCGACCGAGCAAGAGCCAGATGGATCAAATAAAATTAAAGAGGTACTGTACTTGTTAAATTTTAAAAAGAAAAAGATTTTTTTTAGGAAAACACAGACAGCCACAAGTTTTTCTAAAGATTTTTTCTCTTTTAAAATATCTCTAATGTGAAGTCTTTGATAGGTGGTGATAGATCCTTCACTTCTTAATATTGAGGTAAGTTTGAACTTGATATTTCAGAGCTGCCAGGATTTGTTTTACACACTAGGGTTCCATCACTTAACTTCAAAGCTTGATATTTTTTAAGTGGCTAGCATTGTGCAAAATGTCATAGGATAATAAATATTTATTGCATAATTTCTGTAAACTATTCTGGAACGTTATTTTCTGTGACTCAAGCTGTTCACGATTTATGGTAGAAAAGTCAGTTAAGCTAAGTTATGGACCTCTATTCCACACTCAATATAGTGTGGTCCCATCTTAAACTGCAATTCTATGTCTATGTTATTTTAAATTTGTGCTTTCATTAAAGGTATTTATTAGACTAATATTCTGAATTACTACGCACCAATCACTGACTCATGCAAATTTGTACTGCACTAATTCTTTTTTCAGTGCTTCATGGAAGTTGTTGATTAAAAGTCCAACTGGCAGCTCTGTTCACATGCAAATTGTAGATTTATTTGGATAAATTACACTCAATTAGAATAAGAAACAGAACAACTTTGTGTAGATGCTTTTTAGCTTTTTAAATAATCAATAATGGTTCAAGTCCATTTGCACCTTTCACTCCCATTTCTGGGTTGAGTTAAGTGACATTTTATTTTATAATTAGTTCCCTTTTATTTATTTATTTTTTGGAGGGGGGTGGGGAGGTGAGTCCGTGTGTTGTTGTGTATGCGCTGTAGAGAAAGGATGAGGAGTGGGTATTGAATCTATGCTGTCCACAGGCCACAGCCTCTAACTCTCCTGAGAGCCAAATAGATAACAGCTCTAAAAAAATTAAGGTAAATGTTGATTGTATTTATTAACCATTCAAGCATTCTGTCTTTTCAAGGCTTTTGTGTTTGTTTGTATTGTGCTTATTTTGTATGTTTGAATCTGAGTTTGTGAATCAGAACAGTGTCTAGATTAAATTATGAGAACATGCATCAACGATGCATGTAAACCAAATGTACAGCATTTTAAAGCTCCCAACTATTGAGTGGGTTGTGTCCAGAGATGTACTTATTTTGTCTGATAGGTCTTGATTGGTATCCTTATCTTTTGGAAAGCCAAATTAAATTGCAGTTTATGTTCTCCTACCTACTTAGGTTCAAATTTGTTTTGGTGAGGGGTTTCCTTGTTCTGTTCCTTGTGTGCGAACTTGTATGTTTCTTTCCAGGAGTCCGGCTAGGTGCTTTATTTAGAAAATTGAAAATCAATTGTTTTTTTTTTTTAATCACTAACCATGATTAGAGGTTTTAGTTCATAGAGTGTGTCTGGTAAGTATGCCTTGTGCTTGGATTTTTTCGCATGATGGGAAAGGGTATGATATTAGACAAAACAGCTTTAATCCACTGCATGACCATTGCTTTTTTCCCCTCCAGAAGTGTCACAACATTTTGAATGTGTCTTCTTGCTCATGTGCTTTGACTACTTTGGTATTGTATATGCTTCTTTGCATTTCTCACACCTGCTCTTCGCCTCTACAAATTTTCAAAAATAAAAAAATTAACATGTATAGAGAGAATATCCGGCAGTTAATTGAAATGCTTTTCCATGGCATATTAACGTATTGTTTAATTCATTTTTTGACTAGATTACACCAAAGTTTGGTCTGAGCTAGTATCAGGATGAATTGGAACTCAAAATGTTCCTACATATTTTTCACTGGAATTATACACCAAACCAAGGCCCAATTTTTCTACGTAAAACACTATTATGGTTAGTCATTTTTGACTCACCTCTGGATTTTTTTCCCCACAGTATGAAAGAGAAACTACCTCAACTGGTGTGGATGTTGAGACTGGTGGAAACTCATCCAACAAGAAGAAAGGAAGATGGCGTGCAAGTGCTCTGAAAATGTTTTCCCGCATTTTCGTGCAGGCCTTTACTCTCACATTTTTGGCCGAATGGGGTGATCGTAGCCAACTTACAACAATAATCCTTGCGGCAAATGAGGTAGGTTAGGTCCATTAGCCTATATCTATGAAAATTACATCAAAATTTAGGATTATCTTACTGTGTTTCTTATTATTTACAGGATGTTGTCGGTGTAACTGTTGGTGGGACTCTTGGCCATTGTTTATGTACTGGCCTGGCAGTTTTAGGTGGTAGAATGATAGCGCAAAGAATATCTGTGCGCACAGGTGAGTTTCTTATCTTAGTTTATCTGGTGTCACTGATTTCTTATTTGTTATTCTATTCATTTTATGCCTCTCCTTTCCAGTCACTATCATTGGCGGTGTGGTGTTCCTCATCTTTGCAGTTTCTGCCTTGTTTTTTGATCCAAATGCAGTTTAATTTAATTTTCTTAGGACTTTTATGAAACAGTATTTTCTAGGACAGTTTTGAATTCCAGTCTCCTCTTCCCCCTCTCTGATGTATAAATTTTGGTGTTGAAAAATTTTGTTGTTGATAAATTATCTTTTGACTTTTATCCCAATGCACTTGTAGTATCAAAAAGTCCTTTAAACTCAAGTCCAGTCTATTGAATTGTATTGAGTTCCGTGTGAGTATGAAAGTTCGTTAAACACACTTCTTTCATCAGTGATGTGATGTTAGAATTTTTGCAAATGTTTACTTTCCACAAAACTAGGAACCAGCTTCATTGTTTCTATTTGATTATGAAATGTTATGTTTAGCTTTGCTCAATCAACCATGCATACTTAAACTGCTACTTATGTAGTCCACATGTCTGTTTCTTCTGTAGCCAAAAAACAAACGACAAAAACATTTGCCCTATAAATTGGTGTTTTATAGTTTGTGTACTTTTCATAAAGTTTTTTTTTTTAGTTTCAATTGTACTTTGTTGTTATTTATCTTAATATTTATATTATTATTATTTGACCTATCATTGAAATGTGATATAGTTAGCGCATTACGTATTATAATCACACTGCGTACTGATAATTATTCAGTGGCAGCATTTGAAATGAGGATTTATGTACCTATTGAATGAATGGTGTGTTTATTAATAGGGTAAACTTTTTTAATTGACCAATTTCAAAGTGGTGAGATGTTAAATTTTGTATCTGCACCTTAAAGGGGCAGCTAATGGCTTACTGCTTGTCAGGACTCCAAGGGCTACATGTCTCAGGAGGGGACGTCCATATATCGTGTCCTGTTTTTTTTTTTTATTTTTTTTTATTTTGGGGGTGGGTGGGGGAGATGCGGTGTCCGTGATTGGGCACTGTCTATGCTAAACTCATGGGTCCAGGTCACCCCGGGGAGGGAGGGTTTCTAAAAGTGACCTAAAATAAACACGTTGTATATGAACGGCCCCTAACCTGGAAGTGGCTTGATGAACTTCTGAAATACAACCTACCTTCCTTTCTTGTTGTGGGCTTGCAACAGGTTTGAGCATTTGTGTTTACATTTAAGGTTCGTTGTCAAAGCTACAACCTGTATACCTCTAAAAGGAGAAAGGGGTGCTGAAAAAAACGCCTTTTGAATTAAAACAACCAATTATAGAAACTGTTGAGTGTAGTGATGGCAGTTTTTGCATTTTTGTGATTATCAAAACCTTTTTCAGTGTTGTAAAAAATTGACCCTTGGATTCATATTCTTTAAGTTTTATTATTTCAACGAATTTGTACTGTGACCTGTAGATACTCTAGAATACTGGGATATGTTTTGAGGGTCTATGACGTTACTGCACAATTTTAAAGAGGTGGAGAATCTGCCATAATACCAATTCAAAAATTATTATCTTATCTTACAAAGCTTTTTCAGAATAAATGTGATATCCACCTTTAACCGGAACAATGCAGCGTTTAAATAATCTTTCATGGTATGGCTGCAACTTATTATTGGGAAATTCTGAGCAGACTTAGCATTGGAATGCAGATGTAATTTTAAGGCTTTTTTTTTTTCAATTATGACAAAACCCCCAGCAAAAGCCCAAAATGAATTACCATGATTAGGCTTTTGGAAAATAAGATACTGTATGTATGTCGTCACCTTGTATTTATGCTGTAAAAAGACTAGGGAAATGAGGAAAGTTACATCCTCCTATCGATTGAATAAAAAGACTATGTTTATTTTCTATAATCCTTGGCGCTGTACTTTAATTCCCACTCAAAGGAACACATAAAAGAAAATGCCACTTGCGGAGACTTCATCAGATTTGTTTTTCGTGATGGCTCCCTGCTAGCGATACAGGATACCTGCGCCCAAGAACCAAGAGTCCTCAAGTACTTTTGTGGACTGAACTAGGACCATGCCTCCTGGCACTGGCGCTTGAAACTCGAAATCCTGCCCGCGCTCTGATTGCTGCGCGCGATTGGTGGCGCGAGTGGGGTCCGAGGGGCGGCCGCTGGAGCGTGGTGTGGCGTTGGTGGACCATCGACCGCTGCCAGCCGCTCCGCTCGGCCGTAGCTGCGCGGCCGTGGCGCCCTCGTCGCCCACTGGGCCGCGCTGCTTCGCGCTGCCGAGGCCCACCAATGCAGTGCGCGCCGCGCGGAGGAGCACTCTGAGTGGCTGGCTGGTCGCCGTCTATTGGAGAATAATTTGCCGACCAATCATTGGGAAAGTCCCGTCGAAAATATCCAATGTAAGTCCACAAATTACTGCGTAGCCCCCGCCTTCCTTGGCCCTTGTTTTGACCGGCGAAATAGTGTGGTTTGGACAGTTTGGAAGAGAAACGTGAGGGCCTATCGCCCTGTGACGCCCTTCGGTGGCGTTGCCTGGGGATTCTCCTCAGCGAAACAAAGCTCGGAGCCATCCTTGCCCTTTCCTGGTAGTCGGATGCGGCGTTTAATGTAAAGGTTACCGGGTTGGACCTGGCTGTGAAGGTTTGGTGGTTTTTAACGGAGGTTTGGTGGGAAAGTCATGAATGGACACTATGCTCTCCTATCCTAACCACAGGGACCTTTGTCTGAGTTGGTGTCATGTTTGTGTGGTGGTGTTCGTTTGAGTCGGGAGATCTGTTTACGGTTGCAACAACTTGCTTTTCTGAGATGATTTGTACCATCAAGCGAAGTGTTGCAAGTAAGTTTGATTTAATGAAGAAAACCTTTTTATTTTTTGGTGTACCTAACCTGTGACTTTTCTATTTGTATCATCAGTCAATGCATTTACTTAGCTTTATTTTATGGTCATTTGGCAAATAAAAATGAGAGTGGCATGGTATTAATCTGATTTGTTGAATTAAACAAGCATTCATTTCCTATTTTTCTTCTATTTTGCTCTTTATTTGCATCAAATGTCTTATCTTTTCCATTCAAAATTCTTTTTTTTTGATCCAGTAGTATTTTGAACCACTTGAATTTTATGTTTGTATGCAGGCCTAGGTCTGTTCATGAACTAATTTCACCATTTCTGGTAAACTGTTTTCAAGACGTAAATCTTTTTGCTGCTATTGGCACTCATTATCCAATTTCTGGACCTTGCGCCGTTGCAAAGATACTCCCACCTATGATAAATTTTGATTATTAACCAAAACTTGTACCCCAAGGTGTAATGCTAACCCATTTTCAGTGTATGCTTTCAACATTGAGTGAAAGTACATCCCAGTTTAACAACAAGTTTTTCTTGTTTTAGTGCGTTGCTGGTTATCTTTCGTGGAGATCATACTGAAACAAGATGGAAGCGCAACTTGGGGCAGGAGGCCCCATTATGATGCAAACAGTAACAAACTCTGCAGGTCAGCAAGTACAGGTAATTAATTATTTGCGCTCCAAATTAATATTGTCTCCCTGACTGTCCCTGGTGGTATACCTATGTTCCTATTATTCTGTGTTTGTGCTGCTTCCTCAAGGTGGTCCAAGTGAATCCAGGCCAAGTGCTAGCTGGTGGTCAACAGATAATGGTTCATGCTGTTCCACAAGCACAACAAACAATACAACTGGCTACACAGAGTGGGCAGGGACTTCAACAACTGCAAGTAGTCCCTATTTCTGCTTTGCAGGTAAGTAGGTTTTACCAGAATTTAAATTATCTAAATTTCAACAAATTCGGTCAGCAGGGATTTTTTTTTCTTTAATTTAGGGTGGTGCACAACAACAAATCCTTATTCAACAACCTCAGCAAGCTCAAATAATACAAATGCCAGATGGGAATACATACATCTGTCAACCTAATCCAGTTGAAAGTGCTGTTCAACAACCCACATGTAAGCCATATTAGGAGTCAAGTATCATAATTTTTCTTTAAAAAAAAAGTCCATCTAGCTTAGTTGCTTGGTAATTTACTTTCCTAATAAAAAATAATTTTTTTCAGTATTTAATATCAATGGGAATATTGTTCAATTGGCTGCCGCCCCTGCAGCTCAGCCAGCTCCCCAAGCTGCCCCTCTAGCCAGTCCGACACCTGCAGCTGTTCCAGTGCAACCTGTTGCTGGTGTTAATGGAAATAACATTGTCATGGTATGTGTTTGTGCCTTATGCCCTTTTTGCCTGCTCTGGTTCCTGTACCTTTCTTTTTAAACAGAGGGAAGGCAAAGGTAGAACCTACTGTAAATTGACTTTCTATTGTAGATGATGCCTGGTGGAAGCTCTAGTGGAGTGACACAATTTTCCCGGCTTCCACTAGCTGGTGCAGATATTCTGGAAGAGGAACCTCTTTATGTTAATGCCAAGCAGTACAGAAGAATTCTGAAAAGACGCCAGGCACGTGCAAAGCTTGAGGCAGAAGGCAAAATTCCCAAGGAAAGACCTGTAAGTTGTGTGAAGCACTGATGTTTCATTATAAAAGTGTCTCATTCATTGAATAATTGATTCTTTGCTTCTACAGAAATACCTCCACGAGTCACGACATCGACATGCCATGAACCGTATCAGAGGAGAAGGTGGCCGCTTTCATTCAGGCTCTGTTAAGAAAAAGAAACTTATGATGATGGAGGAAGAACGTCAGCGTCAGCAACAAATGCAGCAGTAAGTAATTGATCCTTCTCACCTGTCTCAGGTTTGTTCATATTAGTCAACAAGCCTTTAATTTTTCAGGCAAGATGTTACTCAACTGTGTTTATCATGAAGATCTATCTAAGGTGTTCATCCTTGGAAGGCCATGAGATTGAGTTGACCCGAATTTCTATCAACTTGTGTATCATAATTTTAAGTTTAGAACCTGTTAATGAAGTTACCAAAATAATTTAGTTAATTCTTTATCCAGAGGAAGAAGTGAAGGCTATTACTGTTAAGATCACCAATGCCGTTTTGCATACTGTGTATGCTTTTGTGTACCTGTTATCACTTGTTAGTGTTTTCCTTTGTGTTCACTTGCATCTTTTGACTGGGTTTGGACTGCAGATAGCATATGGTTTGCTTGAGGAAGAGCATAGGGCTGGTTATCATGCCTCTTATGATATGGTTCAATGGGGAGCCAAAATTTTGTCAAACCTCAGATTACAGATAACTGTGATAAAGCTAATGGAATATGCTAAAGACTTGAATGCAAACATAGAATTCTTTTCTGATTTTCTTTACAAAAAGAAAGAAAAAAGTTTTTGCGTTACGATTGGTTGCCTAAGTGTAATACTTGTGGTTTTTCCAACTTACTTGCCTTCCCTTTTTTTTCAAACTTTTTTTCTACATCTCTGTAACTTTATTGCACTTTTCATACAAATATGAATGTTCATGATAAGTCATTTGGCAAGAAAGAGAAGAATTCTTGATACATGTGTTTATTTACTTACAAGTGTCAAATGGAGTTAAGTGAGCATGAGAGCCTGAATCCATTTTATCATAAAACTGTTATTCTTTTGTAAAATTGCAACTATGTATAATTACCCGCAAAATCTAAATGTTTTCTTCTTTCCTGTCTTATTAAATTTGCTGGTATGTAGTGGTAAACTGGCATGAGAAGACATGCAAAATAATCTAGAGGAATTTCTCTCATGATTTTCTTATATATTTTTTCTGTGCGAGGAGAAGAGTGTCTCTAACATCCTCTTTCTGGCTTTTCTCCTCCCTTGGAGGCTAAGTTTGATGAGACTATGCAATTTAGGAGTAAACCATTGCAAATAAACAAATTAAAACGTAATCAATCTTTTATTGCAAGCAGAACTGTCTCAAAAGTTGGAACACATCCTTAATTCACATGCTTCCCTGACAAAGTAGCTAACAAAGTCATTCCAAATTTGATCACAGACTTTCTTACATAGCCTAGAGCAACTAGTAAACAAGTAAAAATGCTTTTGATGGTTCTTCATAAAATTTCACAAATCCATAAAAAGCGGTCAAGAAAGGAACAGTCAGTATACATCAACCAAAATGAGCTAAGTTAAAAGCCTAGCAGTGAACATGGAATGACTAGTAAATGTTAATTAAAGACAATTTAAGAATACAATGATGGTATAAGTGGGAAATTGTTATGCAAACATCACCCTGTAAACTGATAGTAAACTAAATCTAAATGAACACTGGGCCTTACATTGTTATAAGCTACTCTAATCTTGGGAATGAGGTGGAATGAAAAAATTAGTAAGAGAGTAACATTAACAATAACAAATGGCATTTGATCAGTACTTAAATATGGCAGCAACTTAGGATTATATAAATAGACTATGTACATATGAAAGAACTACACCTTATCTCCCGTATGATGAACAAGACACTGACAAATATTGAGCAAGTTATCAATACATAATGACAGCCTGTTACCAATTAATTTCCAGATGGGCTTAGCGAATGTGAAAGACATACATTATATTAACTTAGGTATGGATTGAATGAATAAAATTGGCTAAGCCAACAGAATAACTGCAATCAAGGCTGGAGAATTTTTTTTTTAAGGAAGAAAAACAATTATTAGTATGCAGTCACATATTGCAGAGCTAGTTGGCAGATTTAGTCTCTAGTTTCAAGAACTTAAACTCTTTGAGCTTTCTTGACTCTGATACTTTTAATTTAACTAATCTAGTCTACTAGTCTAGAGATAGTGAAAAATTAAATATCAGGCAGTTACTGGGATTCTTTTAAGATGAGAAATTTCTTTCTTCCGATCATAGTTTGGCAGGAAGAGACTGGTGGAGTTCCAATTGTTGCCAGCTCCACTTGTGGTCCATACCATGAAGAGTGATAAAAGTTTCTAAGCATCAAAACAAAAAGGGCATTGTGATCAAGAGCACCTCAGCCTCAAACTTTACCTAAACCAACTGGTACTTACCCAAATGTTGAGTGACAACTTGCAGCTCTTTCAAGTTGGCCACATAAAGGGTCTCTTCTCCCCTGTAATTGCAGGTTTATTTATTTGAAATGGAATGTATCAAATGGAAAAATAATAACATAAAATAACTTTAGAAGACTGATTATAAATTTGAATATGTGGGGGTAAGCAGGGTTTGTGATGTGCCTTCTGATACCTTCTGATTCGATGAATGGCGCCAATAGAGACGAGAGCTTGCAGTCCACACGCGAGACCGTCAAGGGAAAGGGCAGCCGCGTGAGATATTTCTCCCGACAGCAAACTCATCTCCACTCTCCGCTGAGCTTCACAGAGAACTAGTCTCTCAGGTCGAGCCTCTCCACAAACCTCATAACAAAAAAAAAATAAAATCTCACTCACAACCTCATTAAGATTCAACTATATTTACCAAAGGAAACATTTACCTGGGCCAAAGTTTGGGCAAGTGAAAGGTATCCACCAAAAAATGGATGCAAAACATTGCAAAGGAGAATTTGCAGTTTTCTGTGGTTTCCGAGGCTCAGGAGACCAGAGGCAGTATTTTCAATGATGTTCACCAAATCAAGAACTCGTAAAGCTTCCTCAAATTCCTGTCAAAATACCAAAATATTATAATTGCCCTCTTTAGCATGACACACAGTAACAATACAGGGAACATTTAACTAGGCATAAGAGTATACAACACAAAGTGGGAGAACACTTGGGAAAAAGAAATTGAGAAAGAGCATGCATCACATGCAAACGTGCAGTGGTGATAATAAAACAGATTTAAAATCCATGACTACACCATAAGAATATAAGGAACAGGCAATTTGAAAAAATAGGATGAGTTTAAAAAACACAGGACCACACTGAAAGTAATGCAGTGAGAAGAGATTTTATGAGAAACATTTACATCCTGTATGGATTGCATATCATTTCACACAAGACATACCTTCTCCTCCCATGTTTTATGTAAAACAAATTCATGAGAGAGGATTCCTCTCACTGTCTGGTACCTCGCAAACAGATCATCTGAGGAAAAAATGTTTCATGAGTTAGGTGAACCACTCCTTGTGACAATGCCTAGATAGCCCATTCTCCAGTTCAATGCAAGTGCAAACCCAAAGAAAGCATAAAGAGAACTGTTTACAGTATAAGGAATGTTTTCCCAAAGTATCCAAAAAACTAAATGAATATTTGTGCTGAACGTAAGTAAAGAGATTAGATGAGAATGATCATAATGCCAATGAGAATTCCTTGAAATGGTGTCTCCTGCATGCAATGAGACAAACACGTCCAGACCAAAATGGATGCGGTACAAAATGAGCAATGGTTTTGCCCCAATTCGGCTTCAACAATATTACCAATAAGAAAAGAACCAAAACAATTGGGCTTGAGTAACAGTTCCACTAAATATTGCAATCCTGAACCCAGAAATCCGTTGGCAACCATTTTACTCTAAGTACTTCCAGACAAAAACTCACCTCTACTTATTTCTCCACAGGGTCCAAGATGTTGCATGACAGTGGTGACCATAGCTGGGTTAGCAAGAAAATGGAGCGTTGGGTTCACATAGTGCTGCAGCATGAGCAGAGGCACAGCACGACACATAGTGTTTTCCAATAAACAGTGCCCTAAAGAGGAAAATATCATCAAATTTTATTTGTCAAAATCAAACCAGAGGCAAGCAACTCACATTGGACTACAAACCTTTCAATCGAGTGGTATCTATCTTTGTTCCCAGGGAGTGCACAGCCTTAAGCTGTAAAGTGCCATCTGGTAACAAGGTAACTAGGGACCTATGTACAAGAAGAGAATCACGCACACTCTTTTCTACATCTCCTGTAAAAATAAGCATAAAATAACTGTTATTTTTCAATGTTTTACAGTACTATTAGCAACAAATTTACAATAAAATTACCAGTTATATCAACAGAGGCCCCAAACATTTCAATAACCGATCGGAACCATGCAACCTCCCGGACAAGGTCAGAAAATTGCATGTCAACTGTCCCATTGGTCATTAAATAGTTGTTTAAAATCACAGCTATGAGATGAAATGGGGAGAGGACACTGAGCTGTTGTTGACTGTTGACAAAATAGAGACGTTACTAATGTAGGCAAGAATCAAAATAAAAACTTCTTTAAAAGACAAAAGATATGACACCTACCTGGTGACTATATAATGAGAAAGCACTCGAATCATAGCCATTTCTTGATCAGATAATGTCTGCAGATGAATAGGACCTAAGGAATGTTTCGATCGCTCAAACAGGTGACTATCCAAAAAATCACGAACTGAAATTGGTTCTCCAAAGTCCACATGTATTTTTCCATACTTTTCATCCAAAACGTTTAGGGCCTTGATCAAACCCTGAAAATAGTTGTGAGAAAGACAGTAAACAAACAAGAATTCTCAAACACCTGATTCTAAATGGAAACAAAGATTAAATAATCTTACCGATGTAGATTCTTTAGGCTTTGGCACACCAAGAAGTTCATATGAGAAGAGTTTCTCCTCCAGAATCCTGTCATAACTTATGTTGATTGGAACAATTAATACATCTGGGATTTGTCCAGTGAGGAAGGGCTCTAAAGCCATAGACAAAAATCCTGAAAACATGTATTAAATTTAAAATATTTGATTAAATACTGTGAAGGATTTTATTAATTAAAACTTTATCTTACCAAATTTCGGAACAAGTGATTTACAGCTTCTGCTGCGAGTTCCTTCAATGAAAAACTCAACAGGGGCAGTTCCATGGCAGATGAGTGTTCGAACATATTCGCTGAATACAGTGTAGTAAAGTTTGTCACCAGAAAACTGTCTCCGCATGAAAAAAGCACAGCAGTCACGAAGCAAATGACCCATCAGCCACATTGCCATGAAATCTGTTCAACATTAAGTTAGTTTATACGTTGATAGACAGCCCCAAATTCAAATTTTCTAAATTGATAAAAAAAGCACTGGTTCTTACCAACACCAGCAGCAACACATGGAATTTCTATGCAGTAGTGGAAACAAACATATGCCATAAGGATAAAGTCTGCATAACTTCGATGACTTGGGGCAAAAATAATAGGAGTGTTTCCCATTGTTCCTTTCAGCTGTAATAGAATAAAGCAATTACGAGTCTTTTACAATATCTGAACTACACTAAATTAACTTGAGAATTGAAATACCAATATTTTGTATTTGTTCATGTACCTTTGCAATAGCTTCCTCATTCACCATGAGATTTGAACAGGTTTTCTTAAGAACCTTTGTGACAAAAAGACCAATCCATCTAACAATTGAAATTTGACGATTATGGCTGATCTCTGTCAACTGCTCCTCAACTTCTTTGTAGAGAGCCTCTGGTGTGACCCCTCGTTCTTGGCTTAACTGAATGAACAAAAGGAATAACATTGAATTGAACTATACGCAATGTAAGCAAACAACTTGACAATTGAAGATATTATTACCTGTGCAATTGTATCCTTGAGTCGTACACTGTTCAGCACAGCTTTTCTGACAGTGAGAGGATTTGTTGCCTGTGCATTTGCTACAGTACGTGAAGGCTCCCAATCTCTTGTTATCCACAAAACATCACTCGTGTGGCGACGTTCCTCTAATATATCTCTGAAGCTGTTCATGTTTCGTTGATGGCTGGAGCTGATTGCCTTATCGTAATCCATTCTGAAACAAAGCATATTCTCAATAGAAAAGCAGTTTCCTGCTGCATAACCTGACAGGGATGTAGTTGCTCTATCCGATTAAGCATCAAACCAGGTTGAGATGCTCATGGGGTGCGCACAACTATGCACTGACCTAAACCGAAGTTGCTGTTGTTGATACCCAAAGTGGTCCTGACAGAGAAGCGCCCGGCCCAGGGCCTCAAGACTTGCCAGGACACTGGCTTATTAAGCACATTCGAGCCCCGCGCGAGAGGACCGAGCCAAGCCGGACTGCACCGGAGTTTCGCAGGACATGCAGCCGACGGCGAGGCGGCGAGGGCGTGAGCAGGACTCCCACTTCTGCCGCCCCAACCTTGAATCAAGTTTGCAGTTGCAGCGGCTCGCAGCGGCTTGGCCCGGGCCGGGCCTCAGGCGCCTCACACGTCCTGCAGCCTGCAGCCAGCGCCCCGCCTGGCACTGGGCCGGGCTGCACGATTGCGTGGTGCAAACGCCTAGCGCCAAATCGCGAGCAAACTGCTTCGCCAAACACCAAACGCCGAGAAAACACAATGCCAATTACCCGGCAGTCGGCCTCGGCCTCAGCGCGGCGCGGCGGTCCGCGGTCCTCGCCTCGCTCCTCGCTCGGCTCGGCCTCCCGCAGGCTCGGGTCCTTTTGGTGGGCGGGGCGCGGGGGGCGGGGCGCGGGACGCGGTAGCGCGGAGAGCGCGGAAGTAAGGGGTGGGAGAGGACACTCCCCCTCCAACAGGCGAGCCAACCGCCGTACCGCCGCCACGCGCACATCGAGCAATTTCTTTCCCTCAAATTCGTAAACTATAAGGATAAATTGAATTTAACGACCTTAGCCAATAAACTTACTATCCAATTTACTATTCTCCAAGGAATAATGAAGGTTGTAAGGGAAGGTGGGGTACAGTGGGACACGGGGTACATTGGGACACCTTCAATATTTCCAACTTCCGGTTAAGTCAGGTTCTCCGGAAAATTGACCATAATAGAGCGTTATTTGGTTTACTGTTTTCACAACTCGGGGACAGAACTGGGCGCTTTCTGAATGAGAAACGTGGGTTGGAAGTTCGATTCCACGAAAAACGATGAAAAAGTAACACGATTTTTGAATTTTGGTTTCTTTTTAGCGTCTGGAATGCACGTCGGATGATCGTACCGAGGTTAGGAATGTGTTCCCTGGTGCAATGGGCGTCAACAAGGGTCAACGCGCGGAGCTTGGTCTTGAGGTCAAGGGCCACAGACCGAGTTGACGTTTTAAAAAGGCTCAGTTCACATTGGGACAGGGTGAGGCTACTGGGCCATGTGGATAGCAAAAATACATGAATCGTACATATATTGTCTTGTCTCGACCAAACAAATAAAAGTTATCTTATACATGTGGTCTCTTAAGTCATTACTTCAGGGTTTTCTCGAGTAGAGAGGTCGAAAAAACACGAGAAATAGTACTATTCCATTGCAAGCAGCGTATCTTCCGAACGCTTAGAACCAGAGATCCGAGTCTGCGCTCATTGTATTCAGCATAACTTTTTCTACAACTTGGCGGTCAGAAAAAATAAATGCACGACTTAGATCCATATTTTTTCCCTTGCTGTCCCAATGTGCCCCGGATCTGTCCCAATGTGCCCCGGTACTGTCCACATTGGGACAAGTGCAGACTCTACGGAAAATATCTCTCCTGCCTAAAAACGTGTCGAAATAAGTTTGAATGCTTCAGGATATGATAGGCTAGATGTCAATGCACAGTTTGGGCCTGCCCCGACCATTATAGCTCGAAAGCCCTGTGACGTAGAGCGCCAAGAAAAAATCCGTCCCAATGAGCCCCACCTTCCCTTATTTATGGTCCAAATTTAAGTAGGGTACGGCTCAGGGATGGTATTATTATAATTCTGCGTCTGCTTAAGCAGAAGACACACAGCAGAAGACACACAGCAGAAGACGCATTTGCAGTTTGCGTTACGTCTCCGGTCCTCCGCTCGGCAACTGCGAGCTTTCCAAATTGGAGCTGATTTTGGCACGAGGACGCAGCTTTGCCCCCAAATCCCCCTCCCAGCAGTATGTCACGCATTTTCCGCCGCGCCACCAAAAAAATAGAAAGGCCAGAGAGGGGGGCGTGTAGATGTCAGTCTTTTAAAAAGGTGAGACATTGACGGACAGGCCGGATCGGACCTATCGCACCGCGCGCTAGGGCAGCAGAGCGGTGGCAGTATCCCGCTATCCCGCTGCAGCCCGCTCTCGCTCCTCGCCTCCTCCCACGCCCCCTCCGCCAACCCAATCGCCTTATCGACCCGACCTACCCCCGGCCGGTGGGGGCGGTGAGGGCGGTGGGGGTGTGCGTGGCCAACAGAGCAGTCAGCTCTAGCGCCCTAGCCGGCAGCCCCCAGTGAGCACGCCCCTCCGAGCGCTGGGCGCTGCGTGAGCGAGAGAGACAGACACGCCCTGCCCAGGCACTGCGCGGACGCGCCCCGCGAACACCCCGGCCCGCCCGGCCCACCCCGGCGCCGCGCATTCGCTCCGTGGCGCCCGGCGGCAGACGGGGCTGCGGCAGCGGCGCCCCCGAGTTGGACGGAGTTGCAGTTACCCGGACTGGATTCGCGCGCCCCTCGCCAACCTCGCCGACCGTGGCACGGGCGGCACCGCGCGCTCCGCCCCGCCCCGCGCCGGCTGCGCCTCTCCTGTCCGCCCTGGAGGCCTTGACGGCCTTGACGCGCTTGGCGGTCCCAGCCGAGGCCGCCGAGGCCCTCGCCTTGCACTGCGTCCCAATGCCCTCGCGGCCCACGCCCAGAGCACGGGCAGCACGGGCCGCACGGGCAGCTCGGGCCGGAGCGGGCCTCAGCGTCCTGCGAGGTGCTCGCCCGGTCCGGACCCTCGCCATCACCCCCGCCGCCCAATGTCCCAGGTAAGCAGAGCGAGGCACGGCGAAGCACAGCGAGCTCCATCTCCCCATCTCGGCTCGGCCCGAGGGGGCAACCACCTACGGTGTTTGGGGACACAAGATTTCTAAGGGCAAGAGATTTCGTCGGATTTCGTCCATTTTTAAGCCTCAAATCCGCCTGTTTTTGGCCTCTTTGGGGAAAGATTTCGGATTTTCCATAGATTTCTAGGGCTCCAGGGGACACAGGATTTCTCGAGGCGTTGCCCCCTCGGCTCGGCCCCGCGGCTCGCCCCAGCGCCGCACCACCAGCATGCCGCCAGGCCGCCAGTTGACTGATTCCGGGTGGGGAGTGGGAGGCCTCTCTCTCTCTCTCGCTCATGGGGCGCTCCATACCGGTGCGAGAGAGACACCGACGGCCGCACTGTGAGGAAACGTTTACGGAGCTGGACCGCTTGGACCCCGCCCCTGCTTGATCCCACCGCTGGAGACGGGGGTACGGGAGTACGGGGGTACAGGGGTCGCGAGGCAGCCATGCCCTTCCGAACCAGGGTCAGCAGACTGATTCCGAGCACTGCTTTCGTCGCTCTGTCTCTCTCGCACTCATGGGGCGGTCCGTAGGGGTGCGAGAGAGACAGAGTGACGAAAGCAGTGCTCGGAATCAGACGGCAGGGCCAAGGCGGCCACGGACCAGTCGGGCGATTCCGCTGCTCGCACATCCCTCTCTGTCTCTCTCGCACTCACAGTGTGCGCTGTGCGGTAACGGCGTGAGAGAGACAGAACGAGGAGTGCGGGCGGCGGAACTGGCGGGCCGCGCTCGGACATTGTATGCAATGTGCCCGCGAGGCACTGCGGGGCGATCGGGCGGGTCATCGAGGAAACCCCGAAAATCCCTTCATTTGCAAGCCGGCCGCCGACCCGCCGAAGCAGCAGTCGCTGTCTCTCTCGCACCCCTACGAGTGCGCGAGAGACAGAACGACGAAAGGACGAGGCGCGAGGTGGGGCTACGCAGCCCGAGGCCAAGCCGAATGAGCTTCTCGAAGCCCACCGACTTTGTTGCGCAGGTCGGATGCCGCCTGAGGAACTTGGGCTTGCTCTGGGTGTTCGTGCTGACATGCTCCAACATCCTTCTGACGGTGCGCCTGCTCGGCTCCACGCCGGACTGCGGCACGGCGCCCGGCCTGGCCAAGGCCAAGGCCCGCGTGGCGCACCTGCAGCACCTGCAGCAGCAGGCCAGGAGGGCCGACCAGCCGGAGCATGGCGGCCAGCAGGCGGAGGACGCGCTGGACCAGCAGGTGAGCAGCAAGCGCCAGCAAGCGCCCTTCAATTTGAACCGCGCGCCAGTCAACCTTTGTTTTCCCTTCCAGTCGCCAAACGCCGAGGACGACCTGGACCCGGACACCATCTCTGTGGACCCGGCGCTAGGGAGGTGGGACTCGCGGAGGGTGCTCAAGATGTTCGACTTGGCGCTGGTCGGCGCGCAGTACGCCCAGCTCTCCGCCGAGTACAAGGTCACCCTCGCCACGCAAACCAGCCTGGAGCGTCTCCACTCGCTGGTGCAGGCAAGTTGCTACACACCAATGAGCCATCTGCTTTCCAAAACGCTTCCAAAACGCACACGCAGCTGTTTGAAAGAAATTCTGCGCGCGATAGATGCAGGTGACGTCACCGGCCCACATCGCGTGGCCGTAATGAGCGCCACTGCAGCAATCGGTGGATCTCCGCGGCCTGCCATGTCATTCATACCAGACACAGCCGAGCCGGCCCCGGGCCTTGCCTGGGCGGGAGCGTCCTGGGCCACACCGCGGCAGCGATATGGCGGGGCGGGGCGGAGCGGAGCGAGGCGCGTGCTGGGGCATCCGCAGATAGTGCCGCATGTTCGGACGGGGCACATGTCTGTGCCCCTGTCCGATGAATCAACCGACTTGATGGGTGCTGCCCGTGTTGCAGTGCAGCGTGTCCCGGTGCCCCTGGCGGCCGGGCGTTGACGGGACTGTACAGGCCTTGACATTGACACCCCAGTGCCAAGTGGACACTGTGGACACTGTGGACATGCGCAACTCCACTAATCTCACGGCACACAGAGTCACAAACCGAGGTTCGGGTGTCCTCGCGTCCTCGCCATGCCGCGCCTCGCTCCGAGCCCCGCCCCCTCCCCCGTGCCCCTTCGATATCTGTAAAATCAGTCCGCTCTAAACGACGGTGTATCGAGCCATGGATGGCCAATAGTTACACGGACAACCCGAACAGAGCATAACAACCACACTGGAAATAAGCACAGAATGTCCATCAATCATGACAGGGTCGGCATTGGCATTTGGCATAGAGATTGTCGATCGAAGAAGTCCCTGCCTATTTCGGACAGACTGGACGGGAAATGAGTTCCAGTCGGGAGTCCAGTCGGGGTCTGGAAGTAGAACACACAGCACTGCTGAAACTCAGCGGCACACCTCCCTATTTGATCATCACCATCAACACGATATTTTTTCTCCGAGGTTCATTTCTGTGTTGGCTACTGACTGTTTCTCACCTGTTCTCGCTGGCCTGGTGGCCCCGCTACTGCAGGTCGTGCACCACTGGACGGGGCCCTTGTCGGTGGCTCTGTACGCGGCGGGGGACGAGTGGGCTCTGGTGCAGGCCTACGTCCGCTACCTTCGGCGCTGCTACGCACCCGTCCGAGAGCGAGTGGCCTTCCACGCCGCCTTCCCCGCAGACCGCCTGCCCGAGTCGTCACCCGACCAGGTAAACCAAACACCCCGCGGCCCGCGGCTTGCCCCGCGGCGCGCGCACTTTTTAGCACGCGGGCTCCCTCCCACTCTGTGCCGGCCTGGGCCTCGGCCTGGGCCGCGCCGCGCCGGCCCGCGCTCAAAGTACGGCGATGCATACCATGCCGTGTTGCAGCTGATGGAGATCCTGGGCTCGGAGGCGCACCTGGACTGCTTCCGGCCGGAGCCCAGCCTCAAGGAGCTGATGCGGCAGCGCAGCCCAGAGTCCATCCGATGGCGCATGCGCCACGGCTACCCGCAGAACCACATGCGCAACCTGGCGAGGAAGGCCTGCCAGGTGAGGAGTAGCGCCGTGCGCCTTGCGCCGCCACCGCGCCGCTTCTACTTACCGTGTTGCGACCGTTTGCAGACCGAGTACGTGTTCCTGGTGGACGTGGACGTGGTGCCCAGCATGGGGCTGGCGCAGGGGCTCAACGACTTCCTGCAGAAGGCCAAGTGCACCGCCCCCAGCGTGGCGCCGGACGCCCCCAAGGCGCCGCCCCCCATGCTGCCCAAGACGCGCGGCGCGGGCCACCGGCCGCCGCCCCCGCCCCAGTGCGCCTACGTCATCCCCACGTACGAGCTGGACGAGCGCGTCCGCTTCCCTCGCAACAAGAGCGACCTGGTGCGGCTGGCCGGCAAGGGTCTGGCGCGGCCCTTCCACCACAAGGTGAGCGGAGAGAGAAGTCCGGGACTGCCTGGCCCAGGCCGCCGCCAGGCGACCCTTTCTTTTCGGAGGGGTAGGCGCTGTGCCCGCGGCTGTCCCGCAGTCACTGTTTGCGGCGTCCAGGGCGTCGTGGCAGACGTCACGCCGTCGCGCGGCACACGTCAGTCCACTGGAACGGCACCGAATGACGTCTCTTCTCCGGCCGGTTCCAGGTATTCATCTACAACCAGTACGCGACCAACTTCACCCGCTGGCAGAGCGAGGGCGACGCGGACAACGCGGCCGTGCACGTCGCGTACAACGTGACCAACTTCGAGTTCCTGTACGAGCCGTTCTACGTGGCGAGGGACACGATGCCGCCCCACGACGAGAGGTTCATGGGCTACGGGTACACCAGGAACACGCAGGTATGGGCACACAGTGTTTTGCTCTCCGTTTCATCCTCATAGTCATTGTCCCCCAATTTAAAAATCCCAACAACAACAACAATTGCTGCTTTTTAAAATGGTAAACAGTGGGTTGCCTCTGCTGCCACAAGGGTGAACGCATCGGCCGGGCTTTAGCCTTGACTACGACTTGTGCTTGACCTACCTCAAGCGGTCCGCGCGCCGCACGGGGCGCCGCACCGCGTGTGGCTGCGTCTGCGTGCAGGCCGCGTTGCGCAAGGCCCCGCTAACCACGTGTGCTAACTGCTAACCACCTTGTGCCTCTGGCCGCCCCTGGCCTGCTGCTCCAGGTGTACGAGATGTTCGTGGCCGGGGTGCAGTTCCAGGTCCTGTCGCCCACGTTCTCGGTGCACTGGGGCCTGCAGAGCAAGCAGGCGCGCCCGGCCTGGAGGGAGCTGCAGAACAACGAGAACCGGCGCCACTTCGACGTGTTCAAGCGGGAGGTGGCTGTGCGGTACCGAAGGTACGTCTGCGGGGGCTGGCCGCTGGCCCCGCCCCGCCCGGCACGGCGCCCCCACTGGAAACATTCCGAGCAGACGTGAATGTCCACCTCTAAAACGCACACTCCGGAATGACTCACTGTTTTCGTCGTCACGATTACGTATGCCGACGCCGAAATGGAAAAACCAATCGCATTGGGTTGCAAAGTAAAATGAAACGAGCGTCTAGCTTTCAGCCCCTGGGCTGTGGGTCCTGGGCTGTGGGTCCTGGGCTGTGGGTCCTGGGCTGTGGCCCCTGGGCTGTGGGCCCGCCGCCAATGAAGGCGGCAGGCGATCGTTGAGTCGCTGATTTTCTGGTGAGGTGAATCCGTTTTCCCACGGACACTCTCCGCGCTTCGCATCGTTTTCCACGTCTGGAAATGTAATTCCGGTGTGTTGTGGTGAATTGCCCCAGAGGTACGCGTCCCACTCGGATTTCGCGGAGTTTCCAGTGTGGAGGTATTAGTGCCACCAAGGCATGCGGATTCTAATGTCGAGCGCTCGGCCTTCTTGGTGTCCACAGGGATCCTTTGAGCATGGTCCAGCCCAACCGCACTCCCGGAAAGGCCTAGGCCCCTGGGCGTGGGTCTCGGACTTCGTCGGGACATTCTTTCGAACGACGACGCCGATCGACGTCATCATGGTCCTGGCGTCCTCATTTGCAGGCGCGGGGACGAGAAAATGTGTCTACCGCGATTATTGTGGCTTGCTTTAATTGAGCACGTTGCTAGCGGAGTTAGCACAATGCGTTACGTTGCACTGCTTTGGTGCGAGCTGTGTGCAAGATGCACTGATTGTCGGGTCGGGTTGGTGCTGGCAAGCGGGTTGCCTATGCTCGACTCAGTGGGCGTACTGCAGCGCACTGCCACTGCCATTGGAAGGCGCTGCAACGCCACTGCCTTTGGAAGGCCGTTGGTCCCCGGTCAGAAGCCTCCCATCCCACGCCTTTTCGGTACGTCGGCTCAGCAGTTAATTCCATGCCTCCACTTGGCCAGAGTAGCAGCCGCTGAGCGCGACTTCCGCATCTTCCTGCCGCAGTCGGGCAAGTCGGGCCCAGGTAACCTGAGGCAAACCCCTTGCCAGCCACGCTGTGGACTTGCACCCGATGTAATCTGCGTTCACCTGTTCATTTACAGGTCTTGTGATATACTGTTAGTATCTTTCCAATGCAGGAGTAAGTGTTCGGTGCTAATGGTTCCTAGATTGTTTGGCCACCAGTTCCTGTTTTATTTTTGTGGACTGTCATCTTTGTTCCATACTCCTACCAGAGTTCACTGATGTTCTACTTCACTAGACGTGTTATGTCATAGCCAATGTGGATTTTCAGAATGCAGAAGGCCAGAGTTGTAACCAAGATCTGCATATTTTCTTATTTTTAATTTTTTTTGAGAACCAATATTTTTTGGGTAGTCAATGTGTTTGTCAATGTGATATATAAATATATTAGGCTCTGCCACTGAAGGTATTCTTTTCTGAAATGACTAGAGAATATTACTAGACTAATCCTGAATAATTGAATGTGCATTTTGAGACCTACAACTAGAAAGTGTTGATTGTACTTGCTTACTTATTGTAGTGAGTAAACATTGACAATTTTTATAAAATACTAAGTATGAATAAAAATTTGAATATTGTGAGAAGTTTTATGACTGAGTCTGCTTTCCAGTCCACACCGGCGGGTTCATATGACAGGTAGGCCAATAACAAAACATGAGTATCATTTTACATTAAAAATAGACATTTATTTACACCTAGTCACACTACATTAACCCAAAGGGAGAAGATGGAACATCTGATCCTTAAAAATGACTTTTGCTCTAAAATGCAGCAGCTAAGTAACGCTTTCCTAAAATCCTTTTAGTTCAGCAATATTGGGACACTAAATCAAAAATAATATAAAAGAAAAAAAAAATAGAAAAAGACAGGAATAAAAGGAAAAATTCATTTCCCATATCAAACCAGATTTTTGATAAATTAGTCTCAAAACAAAATATTTCACACTGAGAAATTCATGGGCGCTAAGTTCTTTACAAGGCCAAGCAATAACATTTATAGAGGAAAATGGTGAGTCGTGTATAATTTAATAAGCCGATCAAGTATTTCTTTGAATGCATTTCTTGACTCAGCAAGTTCTATTTGGAGCAATAAAGTGAGCAAAGATTTGTGAACATCTGACAAAGATACACCACTAAAGTAACATGTGGCATTATTGTGAAAGTGGAAAATGCCTTACAATATTTTATAAACTGAATGCTGCCTTAGAAAACACATCACAATAAGAGAAGTGACACTTATCACTCACACATCCACACTGACGCAAATACATACAATCATTCATCTTACATGTACACGTTATATCACACACAAATTGGCAATGGTTTGCTGAAAAACAGCAGCTTGTCCTCCACAATGCCAAATTGCATTGGACATTAAATTATGTACTTAAGGTGCACAAATCACCATTGTACTTCAGAGTAGAAAGGGCATTGCCTTCTTCAATTCATTGATTGGAAGCAATACTGATTCTTAGACACTTTAAATGTGATTATCACCAGGTAATTCTTTACAAGAATGTCTTCGCCACACATTCTTGGAGACAATGGAGGCATGCTCCACTTGCTTACAAAGTAAGTCTTCTGTAGGATGCTGACTCTCTCCCTATCCTGGCTCCAGATATAAGCTTGAGGAGTGGGAAGAATGGAAGAGAGTAGTTACCATCACCTTGACAGTGAATGGCTACGTTCTCGTCCGCTATCACCAGAGCCAGACCCATGATTCCGATGTTCTCCTAATCTTTGTTCTTCAGGAATCTTGTCAAAGAATGGATGACTAAGTGCTTCCCTCAAGGTGATACGTGCTGCTGGATCATACTCCAGCATTCGTGAAATCAGATCAAAAAGAAGGCGATGATCCTCACTGTCAGATCCTTGATAACGCTGCAACAAAATTTGCATTTTGAAATGTAAGTTAAAGTGAAAAGAATTCAAAAATAAATTGAACATAAGGGTGGGAGACTAACATGAAGAGGTCTACAATTTTCTCGCACATAACGGCCTGCTGAGCTCTTTTCATCCCACTCAAGTTTTCCATGGTAGAAGTATTTAGTTTTGGTTTTCCTTGCCATTCTGGAATAACAATAAAAAAATAATAATAATTAGAAAACTGAGAAGGATACCATACTGCTGGTGAACATTATTTAAAAACAAATTTCCTTATCTTACCTGTAAGGAATGGGTCCAAGTATACGTTCCATCATTGCCAAATGTTCCCTATTATCATGAGTTTGGAAGAGTGTTATTCCTAGGTACAATTCAAACATAATGCAACCAATGGACCACACATCACAAGGCTGTGACCATCCCAGTTCTGAAAGAAAAACAAACAAACACATATTACAACTTACTAATAAATAATAAACATCGAGCTATCAGAAAAAACATAATTACCCAGTAGAACTTCAGGAGCTCTGTAGTGCCTTGTAGATACAATAGTGCTGTGGTGTTCATGATCAAATGTTGCACTCCCAAAATCAATAAGGCGCACATCTGTCTTCTTAACTCTTCTTACATCACGATTCTGTAACATAGTGTAAGTTTACGCGTTATGCATCGAAAATCAACCACTATTCAGCAGGGGCCTCACAATCCTCCTACCTTTTTGGTGTAGGTAATATCAAAATCAGAGTCCACAAACAGTATGTTTTCTGGCTTGAGATCAGTGTGAGTCAACTTATTATCATGAAGGAACTTGACAGAATAGCAAAGCTGATACGACATGTGTCGACATTGTTCCAAAGGATATGGCTGGTAGTTGTTGTCTTTCTACAAACAAGAGAGCATGATCATAAATATATGTATTACAATATGTCACAAAAGAATTAATAAACCTAATAGCACATTAACTTACCAAGAAGTCAAAGACACTGAGCCCCAGCATTTCAAATGCAATGCAAACATGACCATGATAATCGAACCATGTTAACATCTTAACACATAGGCTGCAAATTTAATATTACATCAATTAATCATAAGAAAGAAGTTGGAAACATTTTTCTGCTCATGGTGCTACTTACTGTTTTGCATCTGGGTCTCTTTCAGCAATTTTCTCCAATGCATTGATTTCTAGTTTTGCTGCTTCTCTATACTTTTCAACATTTTTAATGATCTTCAGGGCCATAACCGAATCACTGAAACAATAGAAATTTTTTAACAACTTAGAATTCACCAAATATTCAACTTTTAAATGGTACAACGATGATAAATTTTCACCTAAAATAGCTTAATAGGTTCTGTTACTTACTTGTGCAGGTCTTTAACCTTGACCACCTTGCCAAAAGTGCCTTCACCAAGGGTAGCCAGAATTTTATCTGCAAAAGAGGAGGACCCAAATTTGTTAGAGACCTGAGATTGGAATTGTGCCAATTCACATTTGGAGTATTGAACTAGGTGCTCAAATGAGTATATTTTTTTATAATGCATTGTAGCCAAATTTGACGTTTTAGGAATTTTAGTAACAAGATACTTTATTAACTTCCTGAATTTTAAAAATGCATCAACAGATCCATGAGGACAGAAGGAAAATAGATAAAAAGTGCACTGTAGTGAGACTCCAAAATGTGGTCAGCACAATCTTGGCAATCATTGTTATGTTACTCAAAAGTCAAGAGGAATCTTGGATTAATTTTTGGGAAGTTTAAAAAGGTGAGATTGTTGATAATTCAAAATAATTCTGAAAGCATGCACAGTAATTAAGGAAAGTATAGAAACTGGAAATGATAAATTTGGATTGAGGGCCTCTGAATGCTCATAAATTGCATTCATGAAAGACTGAACACAAAATAAGATAATCAAAAAGTAAAGCTCAAATTAAAAAAAGTGTTTTAAAGTTTTCAAAACAGAAAATTAATAATAAAATGCAGTTCTAGGAAGATAGGCAACAGCCCAGTAGCAAAACCGGACCAACATATTTCCGAGTGTACTGCATCATTTATTTTCTTCCTTAAATGGCTTACTGGGTAACAACTCCTCTTTCAATGGAATCTTGGTTAGAATAGATGATGAGGTTTAGGGGGAAACTATTCAGCGCTATATGTGGAAAAGCCTTTTGAGGTAAACTTGCTCCTCCACCCATAGATGGGCGAATTTCACAGGGACCTGCTGTGATATCCACACTTTGATCCATCAGAGAGGTCTCCAAGTCTCAGAGGTCTCATTGGAGAGAAAAAAAAAAGGAACAGTTCAATTTGATAAATTGAACTTAAAGTGTGGCTCCTCACAGCAAATCCCTGCAAACAGTTTTCTTAGGCTAAGATTACAGCTACTTTAGGTGTGTGTTGGTATTCACGAACATCGGTCTTGCAGAACATCGCCATGGCGATAAATCAGATGGCCGTCTTCATCATCTTCCACTGAAGGGGCCCGTGAGCTCTGTTGTCATCAACAATCCAACCAATCATCCATCCAGCCAGCCAGCAGCGTCCAGGTCCAGCAGTCCAGCAACGACAGCCAATCAGAGCGTCGCATTGTTCCAGGAACATCCAGGCACGGCATGGCCATCCGGGGAAGGGCGGGGCCAGGCGAGGCGCGAAGGTGGATGGACGAGGACCAGGCCAGACCACACAGGGCGAAGATGTCCAAGTCGGATCGAAGTCGAATGGAGTGGAGTGGAGTGGGTCAGCCAATGTATTGTCGCCAAAATAGCGAGAGCGACCCAATAATCATAGAGACAGAGGGGAGAGGGCAAAAGTGTATTTGCCACGTCAACAAAATATATTGTCAACAATGATTCATAAGACATGGGGGTGCCATTCGTTTCTTCAAACTTTTACTTTTTCACCCCTCAGCACACTTCAAATAAATACTAATAAAGATTAAAAACTACCAATGAAATAAAAAATTGAAAAAAAGAAGGCACAAAAAGAAAATGATATTTACTGGGAGGGGTAGGTAGAAATCGAATGGTAGTGACTCCAGTAAGCTAGTGAATAGTCTAGAGCACACTTTACCAAATGAACCCATGTCTCATTCAATGTTGACAAACACCACATGTCACAACACTTTATCAAGAAAATTGGCAATTTCACTGTCAGAGCAAACATAATTCTAAAACAGCATGCAATAAAAAATATTTTAAATATTCCTTAAATTAACTTTAAAATGCCAAAATAGAACAAAACAAAAGAGAATAAGTTGACATCGTCGAAAGTTTAAAATGAATCTTACGTAAGACATGCCACACATTGGATTAGAGCAGCATTCCATGCGGATCAGTAGTCACTTTTCGCTTCACACCACATGAGCACATCTGGTATTCACATGAACAAACTTAAAAAACCACTAAGTACTGTAATAAATAATTTTCACTCAGATCCATCAACCCCGCGTTCTCCCCCCCCTACCCCTTTTCTCTCTCTCAAGCACACACAGACACACAAACATGCCTTACATCAAAACTAAGCTGACAAGCGCCCTCAACATCGTCCCACATGCATCCCAGACCCTAAAGTCCCCCTTCTTTGCTACCTTTTTGAAGTACTGGTAAAAAAAAGGGCATTGACAGCAATGATGAGCACTAAGTCCATCGTGAGGTAGGAGCAAGGGCTGCAAGGGCTGCTAGAACTGAAAGGGTTCAGCACCGCGAACGCTCTGGCGATCTAGCCGCGTGTGCAAAGACACGCCGGCCAGCCAGTCCGTCAGCTATCTTCGGGCCTGGCCTTCTCCCAAAGCGGATGCCAACGGGGACAAATGAGTGCGATCAACTGTCACCCCGCAGGACGGTCGCTCTAGCCAGACCAGCCCTTCTCTTTCCGTCAATATTATTCTACACCGCGACCGGCGGCGTGGAACTGTTTCACACGAGTCCCATTGGGTGAGAATGTCTCCGGTGTGCGCGGGACGCGAGTGGAGGCGGCCAGAAGAGCCACATCGACGTCTGTGCCCTTAGCAACCAAGCTTAGTCCCCAAGCAGTCTCAGACGGAGCCGGAGGTCCAGCTGCTAGCCCCTCGGCTACCGAGTCTCGTCCGAGCAACCCCTCGAATCCTCTCTCTCCTCCTCAATCACGCTGTCACCAAGAAGCAATCACCTTGACAAGATGCTGATGGGCGGCGGAGGCGGGATGCACCGCGGCACTCCGCGCGGTCAGTCCGTTAAAAAGCCACACGCAGCGTCAAGTCACACGCAGCACGCAGGGCGGGGCTGGGGAAGGGGGCAGGGTGGGGTGGCGGCGCCGAGTGCAGGCGGGGAGGGGCGGGGCGGGTCCCATGCTGTCTCGCAACGCACGCAGCACGCTACGTACGAAGGAAAAGTTCGGCAGGGCCAGCGACGTGGCCGAGCTAGACGCCATGGGCCTTCGGTTCAGCACGGAATACTTCGGCTGCCCCTTGTAAAGCGCGCCGGAGTCGGAGTGCGTGGACGAGAACACCCCGGAAGCCGACTTGCCGAGGCTGTGGCCGAGACCAGGGGCCAGGCTGGGTCCAGGTGCCTTGCCGTGGCCAGCACCCAGGCCGAGGCCGAGGCCAAGGCCAAGGCCGAGGCCCAAGCCGGGTGCGACGCCAGGGCCCATCGGGCTGGGGGGTGCCAGGCTGCCCACGGCCGTGGTGGCTCTGCCTGCCCCCATCGTGGGCGTTAGTGTGCCCGAGTCAGCCTTGTGGTTCGCGTTTCTGGCGGGGGTGGTGGTGGTGGCGGCAGCAGCCGCGGCCTTTTCCTTGTACTCGCGCTGCTCGCGCTGCTCGCGGCGCTGCAGCCGGTCGTTGACAGCCGTCGTGTACTTGGCGATGAGGGACTGGATCTCCTTCCGGCGCGCCTCCCGCTCGTTGGTGGCGGGGCTGCTGGGCCGCTCACGCTCCCTCTCCCTCTCTCTCTCCCTCTCGCGCTGCTCCTCGGCCGCCACCAGCATCAGCGCCTCTCGCTCGCCGGGCGACATGACGCGGGTGCGCGGCGGCGCCACGACGTCCACGGCGTCCACGTCAAACTCGACGGGGCACAGTCGGGGCCGAGCGGTGCGATGGCCCGACCGCTGCCTGGACCTGCGCTCGCCGTAGCGGTACGGCGTTTTCTCGCGGGCGGGCCCTGAGCCTGAGCCAGGGCCGCTGCTCACGTAAGGGTAGGCCTTCTCCGAGAGCACGATGGACGTGGTGGCACTCTTGCTCAGCGGCAGTGGTTGCGGGCCCTGCGGGCTGCGGCGGTCTCCATGCCCATGCCCTGCCGCGACGCGCCGCTCGGCCGTGCGTTCCTTGTCGCGGGGCTCGCGGCCGTACTTGGCCAGGATGGCGGAGTACTTGTCCTCGAGGCGAGATCGCGTCGACCCCAGCTCGGGCTGAGGGCTGGAGGGCGCGCGCGCGCTGTAGTGGTCCGTGTGGCGCACCTTGGACACGCCCAGGAGGGGGCTGCCCTCCTTGGTGTCCTTGCGCGACGAGGCCGAGGGGGCTGCGGGGGTAGCGTTGCCGCTGGCAGCAGCAGCAGCAGCTGTGCGCGGCTTGGAGTGGCGCCCGCGCTGGGCCGAGCGGCGCGCAGAGGGGCTGGGCGGGGGGGACGTCGTCTTCTTCTGGCCGTACTTCTTCTCCAGGCGGGACCGCGTCTGGCCAAACGTCGAGAACGTGGGGCTGCGGGGGCGAGCGGGGTCGTGGTCGTGGACGCGGTCGCGCGCTCGGTCGCGGTCCTTGCCGCGGTCCGGAGCGGCCCCGGACGAGGGGTCGGCGCGGGGGGCGGCGGAGGCATGACTCCACGACACGGCCGGCCCATGGGGCCCCAAGGGACTCAAGCCGAGGGTCGACAGGCTCAGGCCGGCACTGGCCCCCACGCCCCTGGACGAAGACGACGGCGAGTCGACGGAGGCGGAGGGCCCCCGCACGCGGGACGTCAGCCGGTGCAGCAGGCTGGAGCACGAGTCGCTCAGCAGCTGCGTCATGCTGGCCGTGGACGAGCGCTGGTAGCGGCCGGGACCCGCGCTGCGACCGCCTGGACCGCCTCCACTACTTCGCGACGCCATCGCCTCGAGCGACGGCCTCCTCTCGACGCACCACGCAGTGCGTCGCACCTCGCGGGGTGTCCTGGCCTAGCCAGCCGGGATGGGCTACTGAGCGCGCCCCGGCACAGCCCCGACGCAGCCCTGGCCCTCAGGGGGGCCGACGGGCCGACGGGCCGACGCGGCCCAAGGGGTGGGGGCGGGGGACTCCGAGGGGATCACGCCGCTCACGGCCACTGAGGGTCAGGGGAGGCGAGGGCCCCCGAGTCCGCACCTCGCTCGGCCGGGCCTAACGGCTGGGGAGAGGGGACGGCGGCGAGGTCCGCGACGTAGTCCGCAGGCTGTCACACATCGAGGACCGGGGCGTGGGAGGCTGCGTTAGGCCGTCAGCCCGTCAGGCCGCCAGGCTGCACCGACGGCGACCGAGCAGCGTCAGCCTGGTCGCAAACGCGGCGACCGCACGACGTGTCCCGGCCGGACCGGCACCGCCGCGTAGGCCCGTCGCCGTGCGTCCCCGGGGTGCAACTAAAGATACCGCCTGGGCTGGCCGTGCGGCCTGGCGGCCTGGCGGCGCGGCCTGCACGCGTCGCGGCGTGCCTTGCCGGGCAGCCGTCTCGCGGCCGCGGCCACCGCCACGGCAGAGAGGCAACGCTACAATCATCGCATAGGCCACCTAAAAATACCGCATCGGCCAGCGGAGCAGCGGAGGGCCGGGCCGACCGCACCGCGTGCCACCAGCACGTCGCCGCCACTCGCAGCGCTCCGCAGCCATGTTGTTGTCCCGGCGCAGGTCTCGCAGGCCACGCCGCCACGCCACGGGGGACTCGCTGACTGCCTCAATAAGTGCCAGGAGGTCACCATCACGCGTAACCGTCGCCCCGCACACCGCGCCGCTTCCGGAGGGGGCAGGCCTGACAGGCCCGGCAGGCCCGGCAGGGCCGCCGATCACGATCCTCTGCGCAGCGCGTCGCGCGTGGGCGTCGGCTGCTCGGCGCGCAAAGTATGCGCGCGCCGCGGGGGCTGCGGGCGATCGGGATTCCGCGGGGGGCGCGGGTAGCTTGGGGAAGCAGAGGCGCAGGGTAGTCCGGACCGACTCTGCACGGCCGGCCAACGGCGGCGGCGGCGGCAGCGGCACAGTGCCGAGGAGAGGGGCGAAGCGGCGAAGCTATGTGCGCAGTTATGCGCTACCTGCTTGCCAAATCCGCCGACTATTTCTGGCGCGGTCGAGAAAGAAAATATATATAACGGAACAGCGGAAAGGCGAGGGGACCGTGTCGCCGGCACAGCGCCGCGGCGGGACAGGGTCACAGGCAGCACGCCACCACCGCCACAGCGCCGCGGCGGCCGGCAAGGACACCGAGGCCCTGCGCGCCCTGCTCCCCGAGATGGACGCAGCAGGCGCCACCAGGCACCAGCCCGCTACGAACCACTCGAGTCACTCAGGGACGGCAGGCGGCAGCGGCACCGGGCGCGCAGTTCCCTCTAGAAATGGGGCATGGACCCACGGCTATGTGGGTCAAGGGGCAGCCCGACGGGCAGCCCAACATCATCGTCGGCGTCCCCGGGACATAAACACGTCGCCGTCGCCCCTCCCACACGGCGCGCACGGGGCGCTCGGCACGGGGCTGGCGACGCCGCCAACGCAGCGCCCCCTGTTGGCCGCAGGCATGGACGCAGGACACGCGGGGCGAGGGGTAGCGTCAGCAACACGCCGCCGCCAACAGCGCACGCGGCCCCACGACGGCGATACCCCGCGTCCTCGCTGGCGAGGTGCCTCGCCAGCGCGAACGCGCGTCAAGTGCGCACCACCCTCACCGCCGGCAGCGGCCTGCCCGCCTACATTACGCAGACACACGCACCAAGGCGAGACGAAGTATGCCACTGGGTCATCATAAACCGCGGCGCCACCCATGACCGTGGTGCATTGCACGCTGCACCCGAAGGCGCTCATGGACTCGCGAGGTGGCGGCGGCAGCAGGGCGTAATTTTGGCGACCGTCGCCCGGTGCTGGCTTCTGGTGCACGCTGGCGCCGCCTCTCCTCCCACGGGCTCCGAGCACGCCGCGCCCCGCGCCTAGCCTGAGTCCCTGCCCTGCCGCCGCCCTGCCGCCGCCCTGCCGCCGCCCTGCCGCCGGCCTGCAGCCCCGCGGCACCGCCACCATTCGCTTCCTGCTGCCCACGGACACGGCACGGCACGGGCCACCATCAACTCGGAGCCGTACATGGGCGTGAGGCGCGCGTGCGGCCAGGACGAAGTCAGTGCGTGTACGGGCGAGGAAAAAAAATCGCGCCAGGGGAGGGGGAAGTTCAGACCAGGAAAAGAACACTTTCGCTTCCTGAGGAATTTGGCGCCAACACGCCGTGGCGCAGCGGGGCGGGCCGGTGGCGCCCTTTGAGAGGAACGCGCAAGCACGCACACACTGTGGCGACAATGATAACTGCAGGGTTACGCCAGCACGCCTGCAGCACGCCTGCAGCGCGGCGGCGGAATTGGCAAGGGTGGCGGCAGACGACGCCGTCTCGCGCCGCCGCCTGTGAGTGTCAGGGCCAAGGAGCAAAGGATGGGCCGCGAGGCGCCGCGAGGGGCGGACAATGGAAAAGCTCGCCACCAACGTCTTGGGGCGTCTGCTTTGCTCTGCTCGGGGCGGCCGACGACGCCGAGCCGGCAAACGCTGCCCGGCCGGCCAGCGGCCAGCCCGGCCCACTTCGCTCAGTCAGCACGCCCAGCAGACCAACAACAATGACAGGCCAAACACGCGATCGCGAGAACCTCCACTAATCCCCGGACGCTTCGAGGAAGGCGTCGCTATCTGCGGCTCCTGCAGTTCTAAGATAAGGCCGGCCAGCACCGCGTCACTCCGTCTATGCCGGGGCGTCACGGCCGCGCGTCAGCGCCCAAGGAAACGGCCCACTCGCCATCAGCGAGTGCCCCTTGTCCCGTCGTGCCCCAATTCGGGGCACTGCCCCCCATGCACCGGGCCGGGCCACGCAGCGCCGCGCAGGGCAACGCGCACCCATGCACGCCGGCCGCTTTCGAGGTATTTCGGGATGCAACTGTCAGTCCTCAACCCTGCCGGCAATAAGTCCCGAGCCGATCGACAGGTCTGGCCGCCAGACGGCACGGCCGCGTCGACCGCGCGCCACACAAGGCAGCGTGGCCCCGCGTGGCCCCGCCGCTTCCCGGAGTGTCACTCAGGGCGAGACGCGGCGAGACGGCGGTCCTCGACAAGCATCGATCTGCCGCGCGCAAGCCGAGCACGTGCCTGTGCGCAAAACCCGGAGGAGGCGGAGTGAGGGGAAAGGGGAGGGGAGTGGCTGGTCCTCTGGTTTGGGGCCAAGCCGGCCAAGCGGAGCAAAGTGGGGGCTCAAGAGTTAAACCCCATGGCAGCAGCGAAGTCGGCCGCAACGCACAAAGCGGATGCCACGACGCAAGCACGCACACACACACACACCCTCTCTCACACACAGGGGATGTCAGTGTACATCAAGGCAAGCACACGCACACACATGCAAGCGATCGAGCGAGCGACGCTCAAGTGGCTGGACATTGGCGCGACGGACGCTGCAACAAGCAACATCCCCCCCCTCCCCTCCCCGGCGGGAAGCAGAGACGCGAAGCGCGACGCGTCACTGACCCCGCCAAGACAGCCCAGTGGGCAGAGCAGTGGCCAGGCCACATCCTCCTCAATCCGCAGTCAGCACGCAAGGCAAGGGAAACAAATAAAAAGTTAATTCCAGTCGCGGCCGCGTCGTCTGCTCCTTTGCATGCCCCCGCCCCGCCCCACCCACGACGCGGCGACGCGGCCACGCGGCCCGCCGGGACCAAAGCAGACAGGTCGTTACTTATATCGGCTGGCTTTTGCTTTCATTTTGCCTTCCTTTACATTCAGACCCATTAAATAAAAGGAAGACTTAACGTTTTTTTAGGGGAAAGCGTGCCAAACGTCGCGACCACGTCGCAGGGAAGCCATAAGGACATCCCCCGTCCCGTGCGGTCCAGCCAGGCAGGCCCGGGACTTGCCAACGGACTGCCAAGGGGTGACCGAGGAGGAGATGGAAAGCATTTAAATCGTTCGAGTAAAATGGCGCGCGTCCTTCCCCCGCCAGCCTCCGCGACAAGGTTGGCGGCCGGGCCGAGGGCAGGCCGAGGGCCAGGCGGCCAGGCCCGGCGCGGATGAAAGATGCGGCGCCAGCCTCGCCGCGCCTCGCCGGGCCCAGCGGATTCCAACGCAAGCGAGGGACAAACAACACTCCCCTGGTGACGCAACACATCAAACCGCCGTCCAGCCTATGCGCCCCACAACTAAAGCACAGCACCAACACCGCACAAGCATTCGCCAATCACAGCACAGACGAGTAAGTACCCAGGGGTTGTCGTCGGCCGTGAGCCGGGGCGCGGACGCGGGGGGCCGTCGGCGCCTCCGTCGCGACCGCGGCACGTACACCACCACGGGGCAGGACTCCTCGTCGCTGCCCCACGTCTTGTTGGCCGTGCGTCGCCGGCGTCGCGGCTGCGGCGTCGCCATGCCATCGTAGCCCGAGTCCGTGGTCGCGCACGACGACTGCTTGCTGTTGCTGGCGTCGTCGCTCTCGCCGCGGCCTCCGACAACGCCACGGCCTCCGCGGCCTCGGCTGCGTCCCGCGTCCCCGAGCAAGGCTTCGCCCAGCGCGCTGTGGTGGCGGCCCATCGTGGTCCCGACGCCCCACGACGCGACGCCACGGCAGGACCGCGCGCCGCCACCGCCCCGGACTGAATGCACGGCCGGGCCGGGGCGACGGCGACGGGCCGGGGCCCTCTCGCCCGCGGCCGCGCGGCCGCCGCCAGAGCACCGCGCCGGCGGAGGAGCGGGGGGAAGGGGGCAGGGGCGTGGGGCCGCGCGGCGGGGCTGGCACGCGTGAGTCAGACCGGTGCGGAGGTTCGGCGCGGACCACGTGCGGCAGCGGCAGCGGCCGTGCCGGCCAGACCGACCAGGGACCCAGGCGAACCGGCCGACCCGTCCCTCCCCCGCTAAATATAGGACATTCCATCTCCCCGCATGA